CAGCGCAGTGACGACTTTGGAGACCAGAGGCCGCAGTCCCGCCAATGACCCGGCCACCAGGCCCAGGTTGTACTCAATGGCCATCCAATACAAGGAGCTCGCTCCAGCGTCTATGGAGTAAAATCATTAGCAACTCGTCAAAGTCTAGCTAGCGAAAGCCAAGTCCTCGAACTTACAAGTTGTGTCTGAGGATCCAGACTTGTAGAACTGTATGCTTTCGAACCTGATGGCGGGCGCGATGCAGGCTACTAAGCCGCTTCCAAAGACCAACAAGAGAGCCGTCTTCTTGGCAGAGCCAATGTGAAGTTTCACCAACGCAGGGAATGGAAGGAGGAATATGATGATGTCACAGGCAAAAAGTGTGGCGGCCTGGTACATGAAGATTCCATAGGTAACATCCGTGGAGAAGCAGTATTTTGCCCTGTCGGGCGACATGAGGAACTCCAGTTGATACGCATATTTGGGTGGGGTGCACTGAAACGCTCCAACGATCGAGCCCGATATCGTAAACAGCACAAGGAATATCATCAACCCGAGCGTCGTGTGCTGAATATAGGCTAAAAGAGAAGGTCAGCCCAGCAGGAAACGGGAAGAGAGACGTCAACAGAGCATAGAACCTACGTGTTGGGAACACCCGCCGCAATAACAAAAGGATGCTGGACTTGACGGCTAGAGAAACAAACAAGTATATGCAGATGCAGATGTAGTACAACTGAATGTCGTATTAGAAGCAGTCGCAGTTGATAAGCCTTGAAGGGGAATGAATACCAAGAACCACATCTCCAAATGCTCTTGTGAAACATGTTGAATATGTTTCCCGACGCCGTAGTGCACAATGGCCAGCCCAACGCCATTGAACATGGTTACAGAGATCTAGCGCAATCATCAGTACTAGCGGTCCTGAGGGACGATAGCGTTGACGAGATAACTCACCAAACCAACGAGGCAAGCCCAATCGTCGATTCCAAAGGCGTTGATCACACATTTGCGAACGTAAAGCTTTCAGGGCACCAACTGTTAGCAGTTTTCATGATCACCACACTTTCGAATACATACCCTCGTACTGCAAACCAAGATTGCTAAAACACCTGTTGATATGATGGTCCCATACGAGACGGCGATCTCATACTTCTCATCAGCGCCAAGCTCTGAACTTCCAGTGTTTGACATCTCTAGGATACGGGAAGTGATGCCCGTGATAAATCGGCTGAGGGGAGCGTGTGGTCAATGACACAGCAACAAGTACCAAGAGGGGGTTGAAAACACGGAGCCTGCATAACTCCGGTTGACTCCGACTATATATGAGTTGGCAACGATGTTTGCCAGAACTTACGAATCCTTCAGGGGCTCTCCACCGTCTGTCTGCAAATGCCGAACATGGGGAATGGACCCTTGATGCTGCTGTACCAGGTGGTAAGCGAGTGATCGGCCACGAGGAGATGGATTCATTGATACGGCCCTGCAGACTGACGGGGCGGTCGCTATCGCTACCAGACCTGACTCGCCTCTTTCTTTGATACCCAGAAGTATCTGGTTGGTTTGGCTTGCGCACCAACACACGGCAGAGGAGTTCCACATTTCGCCCTACTTTTTTGACTTTGAGTACGAGATGATCATGTTGCCGGAAACGCCCCCCGGCACGGCCTCCCTTGGCAGCAGTGAACTTGCCAACGGCTCCCGCGACGATCAATCCCACACTCCGTGAGGATTTAACGGCGGCGCCGATGTGCGTGATCATTGACGGGGCCTAATGGGGGCTCATTCCGCGCTGCATCAGTGTTTTCTGGAATGCTCTAGGATGGCGCCGCTGCGACTTCTCAATACGTCGGAGATTTTCAACTACATGGCATGACCTTACAACGCACGTGTCGTATTAAATCTCTTCCCTGTGTTGATGCGCTCCACCCCTAACTTGTGTGTCTGGCCAGGCCCAGGACCCAAAGTAGATAGAGAAGACCCACAACCGTTAACGGTTCAGGCGGTGTGTGCCCCCCAAATACAGAGTACGTACCGCCTTACTAGGGCCTGCTCCCTGCAGCAGTGCATATAAGTGTGGAGGGTCTTGTAACCAAGTCGTTGGACAACAGCTCCAGACAACACCATGAATATCTCTGACAGAATGCTTACCGACGATATGGCAGACTCGGCACAAAGGTTCCAGGTTATCATCGCTGGTGGTAGCTTGGTGGGCCTGACCACTGCACTGGCTTTGGAGAAGGCCGGGATCTCTTACGTCCTGTTGGAGAAGCGTGAAATCGCTCCGCATTTAGGAGCATCCATCTCCATTCACCCGCATACCCAGCGGGTGATGGAGCAGTTGGGGGTATGGCCTGAAATCAGCGCAGGCGTACTACCCCTTGAGAACCGGCAACATTATGATGAGAACGGTGTCTTGTTCGAGGACTCTTCGATATTGCAGGAGATATCCAAGCAGTAAGTCAAATGCATATGCTCTATAGGATATGTGGCTGAAGCAGAGCAATACCAGGTGTCACGGCCGGTGTACAGCATTCATGGAACGCAAGTTCTGGCTTAGCTGTATCTATAACACCATCAAGGACAAGTCTCGCATTCGCACAAACTCCGGAGTGGCCTCGTTCGTCGAGTCCGCAGAAGGCGTAGAAGTCACGACAGAGAGCGGCGAGATACTGAAGGGGGACATCTTGCTAGGCGCCGACGGCGTCCATAGCCATGTCCGAGATCTCCTAGGAGAAAAGCTCAACAGCACTGATGCCGCCGCCGCACAAAAGATGCGGGAGTGCTATGTTAGCACCTATCACGCCATTTTTGCTACCTCAAGGAACATGAACGCAAAGGGAGAACTGTTTCTTCCGGAGCGCATGGTCCACAACGTCTACTACCCCGGCTTCTCTGGCGTTTCTGCTGCCGGTGTTCGCGATCTCGTGTTTTGGTTCCTATTCGTCAAAAGTGACCAAGTTACCAAGACCCCGAACACCCCGCGCTTCACCGAAGAGCAAACACTGGCCACAATCGAGAAGTATGGAGACCGCAACCTCGGCCCTGGATACAGCTTCAAGGACCTGTGGGACACCCGAGTCAAAGCGAACATGGTGGCGCTCGAAGAGGGAGTGCTTCAGACAAAATGGAATTCCGGCGGCAGGGTTGTCCTGTTGGGGGACGCAGTGCACAAGGCGACAGTCAACCCGGGACTAGGGGGCAATCTCGCAGTGGAGGGCGTTGTGCACCTTATGAACGAGCTCGTGCCCCTCTTGCGCAGATGCGAGGAAGATGGCATGCGAAAGCCGACCACCACCGAACTGGCCGCCACGTTCGACGAGTACGAGAAGAAGCAGCGGCCGCATGCCGACCTCATCGTGAACGCTTCTGGCTACATCACGCGCTATGAGGCTATGGACACATGGTGGCTCAATGCCCTCCGTCGCGTCTCCCCTTGGGTCAGTGATAGTATGAAGGCGAGTGGGTTTGCTCGATACATTAATGAGGGCCCATGGCTGAATTTCCTGCCCACCCAAGATGAGCAACTGGGAGCTGGTGAAGGGGGTCTGTGAGCTACGGTGGATAAACAGTTCACCCCACGTCACGTTCGTCAAGGGTGCTCGTAAGTTGCTATGGACCCGGTGGATTCTGCATGGTGCTCGGGCGCAGCTTTTGGGGGCGATAGATAGTCTTGACGGATATTAGAAATGGGAGTTTTCTGATTTCCCTGACGAGGTTGGAAGAAAGCTCGAGTCAGTTGCCATGAGGGAGATGGGCTTCTGGTGGGCGACCATGATTGTCGCTCACGGGAGGATTGACTTTTGATCGGCATTCAATATTTGTTGAGCCCATGGAATGGTCCGTCTGAACACGCTTGTAATTTCATCCCAAGACGGATCCTTCCGTCAAAGTATGTTGTTGTATCAAAAAGTCGAAACTCACCTCGGAATGCATCCCCGCGGCGGGAAACGCTCATTCTTGGAATAATTATCAACCAATCAGTCACTTTTCCAAACCTCAAGCTATCCGCGATGTACTTCGAGTGCTAGGACGAGACCATTGAAATACCCGTCGCCCCGTAGATGCCCATCTTGCCTCCTAATGACCTTCCGGGAGAGGTCATGGACCACTGGTGATATCCGTACTTGCCGTGTCAGCTCAGGTGACAGGGCCCTTTCACCTGACCTGGATCGCCTGCGGCCCAGTCATCCCGGCCCGTGCTGGTGGTGAGGGTTTCATGGCCAGCGTCGTGTGATGAGGGGTTCCCACAGGACCGCCTTCGATTGCTGTATGCAGTGCTTCTGGCACTTGGGTTGTATCCGTGGGATGGGGAGTCTTCTCACAACGGTGTTGAGGAATCACGTCTTTTGATTGATTTGGCTAGCGCCAGGATACCCAGGCCACGGGTAATGAGACAGGATGAAGACGACGAAACGCGTTGGCTGCTAGACAAATCGGGTGTAGCCATGGACGGCCCGCGACGTAAGAAACCTTGTCTGACAGCCTGGGGGGACCCGGTTTGTGCCGAACCGAGATTCTGTACGGGGCAACCTTACCAGGGCCGGTGGCCGCTCTCGGCCTGGACTCAAAAAGCAGAAGATGAAAGCGGTGTCTAAGAGGAGGACAAGGAAGGATAGGAAGACCCGCCTGCGATGGCACACTGTCCACCTCATTACCCGGCCATGGGTTCTAGTCATCAGATTCCAGCAGACTCCATGACAGCGGACATCAAAAAAGTGCCGACAACGAGAAACCGAGTCAGCTTTCAACCACAAGAAATTCCCCGAGCCACGTGCCGAATGAACTAATTCGTACCCAGCGGTGTAGGGAGGGATTGCACCGTATTTGCCAGGTCAAATTTCTCTCTGCCCAAAACGTATGCAAGTGAACAACCCCTTGGCGGGAATCTTGTTTGTTTATATACTTCTAGCAATATCCCGCCGTAAGTGAGGTATCAATTTGCAGCATTTGGTATCGTCAGTCCTTCTCGCCTTATTTGCCAACTTAATCGTCGCTCTTTTTACGCTTGATATTTTGTTAAAATGAAGACCTCAACTTTCATCAGCCTTCTACTCGGCTCCTCGACTGTCGTCGGTGCAACATCGGGACATAATCGGCCTAGACGGGAGAAAGGACTCGAGGAATATGCCGCTGTCACCCTACTCGACACCGCCTGCGAGACGGAATTCCACCCTGACCAACTCGACATTGCCTGGGTCGAACTCATTGCGTCAAACACGATCCTGCGGGTGAATCTGACGAGCGGCGAGCAAACAAGATTCCCACTGAACAACCCTGTTGGACTCCCTAGCGGCATGGAGTTCCTCGCGGACGGTAACCTGTGGTTTTCCGAAGTCGTCGGCAACAGCATGGTGAAGTTGGACCCGAAGGATGGCAGCATGACCGAATATCCCTTCCCTTGGACCAACATCTCTGTTCTCGACAATCTTCCTGCCGGAATCCGTGTCACCATCGACGTCGCCGGCGGCCGCGATCGTGGAGCGTGGTTCACGTCCGTCGGCCTCAACGCCATTGGCCGGTTCGACATTGACACCCACAAGTACGACTTGTACCCGCTGCCGAACCCCCTTTCGGCCCCTCTCATCATCCAAGCTGGCCCGGGCAACACGATGGTCTTCTCGGAAATCCTCGGTAACAGGGTCGGCACCATCGATGTGAACACCAAGGAGATCAAGGAGTACGAAATCCCAACACCGCTGTCTCTGGTTCAAGGTGTCGCGACGGACAAGAACGGCCTCATCTGGTGGACTGGAACGGGCGGTGGAAACTTTGGAACCATCGATGTCACAACGGGCGAGGTGACTGAGATGTTCATTGCCGACATCCGCGCTGCGGGCAACTCGACTGTGGTTGAGAACGGTCTTATCAGCATCGGTTCCTCCGGGGCACTGGCGTTGCCTGGTCCGATCCGTGTCGGTAACGATGGCAAGGTCTACTTTGTAGAGGGTAACCTCGTCTTCCTTGGAAACCGCGTTGCGCAGTACGACCCCGAGACTCAGCAGCTCGTGGAGTACGTCACTCCCACTAGCGTCAGTGCCCCGTGTGATCTTAACAACCAGCAACCGGACGCCATTTACTTTGCAGAGTTTACCGGCGCCCATCTGGGTCGCGTGAACTACTAAGGGGTGGAAGCTGAACAAGCCAGGCAAAGCGCCAACGGCTGAGGCTGACGGGTTCCAAGAATTATAAATTTGTTTGAATGGAGGATGGAGCTATACGATGTTATTCTGTGTTTATATTTATATGTATATTTTACTCCTTACCGATTTTGTTTCTGGTTATATAACTCCGCGACGACCTGCTTCGCTGCGGCGTAATTCTTTTCTTCATAGGCCATTCAGCAAGCTGCGGCACCCCCTGTGGGGTGAAATTTCAGCATTCTACCAGGGCAGTACCGATAGACCACCAATTACCTGCCTAGGTATGCACAGGATGATCCTTTGTATTATTTCTGACCTTCATCCTGGTGCGATCTTGATGGGTCACAGTAAACCACATTATTGCATATATTTGCCGTAGATTGAACTTTGCATAAGTAGACCGTATATACAACACATGCAGAGCCTTCGCGTCTAAGGTGCTTCTGAGGCATTCCTTGCATCAGGATTTGTCGTCAGACTGCGCAACAATCGAGCCATGCCCCAACCACTGGGCTCTAGGTCAAAGAGCACCCGCAGTCCATTCATGCCCAACAGTATCATTTCGAACTTACCAATAGCTACCTAGTACTGACTGGGTTATTAAAAAAGATAATTATAGCTGATACAGATTACCGGATGAATGACTAGACCATTGACTGAAAGGCTCTGAGACACAGACAGGACTTTGAAAGAACCACTAATTGCGTGAATGATTGGCGCACACTTGTCTCTGATTATAAATGAACAGGACGATGCATATTTAGACATCCGTGGGCATGAGATGCTCACCGCGACAAACCTCGAGTTCCTATGCACCGCTTGCAAAGTAATACCTGCCACAGCGTTCGTGTCGGCGACCCAATCAACTGCATAGCCTAATACTTCCGCCTGCATAACCAGAAGACAAAGCAGCATGATGCACCAATGTCAATCCCTAGTCTCTTTAAGGATTTGGAAAAGTTTGAAGGGAAGAAAGACTCGTCCATAGAAAAGGAGCCTGAAACGTTACAAGTTCGCATGGACAGGTCTTCCATCAACCTCTCAGAAGATCTGGAGAATTCTCGAGTAAGTCGTGACGACAAGTCTTCAAAGCAGCGAAACTTTAACTGTAAGATCCTGTGCCGTATGGACGTGGATTGGGCCTGGGTCATGGTTAGCAGATGTGACCGTTGGAGCCTGTTGCAGGGGTGTTGCTATATAAACCCCGTCGCCCACATGCTTCTCTGCAGCGTGCGTTTTCCTTTCTCAACAACGTCTTCAAAGGCTAAATTACGCGCTCGACATTGCGGCAAGCCAAAAAACCATTTTCAGTGCCTCAATCAGACAGACTCAATCTTTATTAGACCAACATGTCGACTTTCGAGGGGGAAGCACTTATTCCTAGTCACGACGCACTCTGCGCCGTTCACCAACCTCCCAAGCTTTCTTCTGAGGCCCGCCGACTCTTCTGGAATATTGACGGTCCGCTTGACTCCGTCGTCCACATCATGGCAACTGAAAGGGACACGAGCTCTCTGGAGCCTTACTTCCAGGATCACGCCTGGCATCCGTTCTCGCAGGCTGCGCTCACGGAACCTAAGGTCTCATCCATGACCGTGGTCGTCGATGACCTTAATGAGTGGGAGGACGTGTGGCTTGAATGCCGCCGCGAGCATACCGACCCCGAATGCGCCGAAGAGGTTGAGGAGGGGGAGACGGACCCGGATACCCATTGGGGGTTACTACCCGACTATGACCCGGCTTCGGACGAAGACGGACCATTGCATTTACTGAAATGCTGCGGAACTCAAAGGCCACGCGGGAAAACTGTCATCATGGTAGTGAGGCCCGCCGTCGGTTCTTTTGTAACGATTCATGACTACCTCTCTACCGTGCATCCCTTGCTTCTGAGGTCGCGTGCGGACCTTCTGAACGCCATGGGAGACGTGATGGAGAACGAGCCGCTGCCGTCGGAGACGAAGCTCATGGTAGACTATCACATGCCTCATCATTTGGTTATTCGCGAGCAGAATGATTGGATCAGAGAGGTTAGCAGACCGCCGAACCCGTGGTTGGCGTCAATGGCTACCTAGCAAGATATTCCGAATGGTTGGAAAAAAGCAGGGATTAGTTGGGTGAAGTGTACTGACAGATTAGACAGAAAAACGATTTGCATCTTGTTTTGAAGCGAGAACCCCTTGAACTGATTGAACTGATCTACTTCTATCCTGATTTGGGAATTGGAACCAGCAGCCACTGGGGGCGATGTGCCAGCACGGGTATCAACCACCTCATCCTTCCACTCACAGCTTGGCGTTAGGTTAAATCGTCTCTCATTGCTCACCGTACCTCCCTGCTTTTTATCAATGCCACCGCAGTCGCAGCTGTCGACGGGCACTCCCAAGTACCGCCTGCACTCGTTTTAGTCCCACTTCCACTCACAGCCATCTGCGATCAAAGTAGCCAACAGAGGTATTCCAGCATCTTGTCCAAACTGCAATGTTAAAAATTACAATTCAATGTTTATAGCTGGAGATATCATGCTAAATGAGATTATGATTGGATCGATTGAAAAGCTTCAGCTGCGTGCGCTGAAAGGGTATCTGGACATGGCGACCGAAACAAGTCATAAGTGGAACATTTCGAAGATTTGACGTCTGCAAAACTCGTATTTCAGAGATCCCAAGGACAAAGACTGATACAACCATTCTTTAATTCTTTTTGTTTACGCCCTTTGCTTCGCCAAACACCAACCGAAACTCGTCGATGAATGTTGCTTCCCAATCCACCGCCATCTTCTTCGGCTTCCATCCAATCTCCCTTGAGAGATTCGCAGATACTAACGACTCTGAACCAAAGGCAATCTCGGCCCAGTTTATATCCCCGTGAAACTGATCACAGGCAATGCTTTCGAGTGACATTGATGAGGCCTGGGCGGTTTTGAGCGCTCCTAGCTTTATCCGGCTCGTCCGATATTGTCAGCAATTTCGGCAAAGCTACTGCTCCCAGTCTCGGTAAAGAAAATGGCTCGGTCGTGAGGGGAAATCTTCCCGGCAATGGCTCTGGCAACGACAGTCTCATAAAGCGCCGCCAGATCTTCCACGTGAACATGGCTCCATCGCCCGGCACCTTCACCAACATACCGAGATTCTCCATTGGCTAGGGCCAAGCGCATAAGCATGGGTAACTGGCCATTGGAAAGTGTCCTAAAGAAGCCAGTTCCGATGCCGAAAACGAGAGGCGGCCAGATGGAGTACGTGTCTACTCCCAATCGCTTGCCAGTCTCAGCGACGAAGATGTCAACTGAACGATTTTGATAGGGTTCTTGGAGATCAAGGGACTTCTCGTAGCTGAAGATGTCTTCTTTGTCGGAGAAGACTCGAGTTCCACGGTACTTCTTCGTGATGGGGAAGTCAGCAACATTGCTCGTTCCGGAAGTCTAAATAATCATGTTAGCTGTCACACTTTTAGCGGAAAGAGACGAGTGATTTTGCAGTTTCCTTACGTGGATGAAGATACCAGTCTTTCCTGTCTTGGCCTTTCGGTCATGTAGACCCTGCAGCATAGCCTCTGCCGAAGCTTTGTGAAAGCTGTTGGCGATGTGGATGATGACATCGTGGCCAGCCGCTGCTTGCCGAAGGATTGCGGTGTCGTCCAAGCCGTTGAACAAGATTGGTTGGATGCCCTTCTCAGCGAAGATGCTGGCTTGGCTTTGATGCCGAACCAGGGCGCTGAAAGAGAGGGACTTTGTCTCCGGAACCGTCGAGTTCAGCAACTGGGTTAGCACAGTGCCGCCGCTTTAGTCATATTAGCGAATCGCGAGAAACTAATTTTGGGTCTAGAGACTCACATGTAGCCTGTTGCGCCGGTAATGAGGAGCTTCTGGGAAGGCATGATGACTAGATAACTGTGGGCGATGGGGGAGTTTTTGGAGTGAAGAAGATATTTTGTAAAAGCTCACGTTCCGAAGAAGAACGACTCGGAAATTCTTTCTTGATTCAAAACTGAATATGCTTATCACCAATGCGATCTTGCTTACAACTGAGAACAGCCACTTTTTAAGTGTTATGCGTCGTGAAACACTCCAGAGCAAGGGCTTGATATTCGCGAATTACAAACCAACCCAACCTCAAAACCCCTGAAGATTTTCTTGATGGTTTGACTGTCAAGTCCGCAATTCCGCCACATACAAGACGCAGTCCGCAAGTGCGCGAAAGTGCGTCTCGTGAGGTGGCTTAACGCGCGCCGCGCGTGACGCGCGGATTGCGGTTGCGAAGCTATCGTGGGCATGTGCCGAAGCTCAGTTTTAGGACCGGCCGGTATCGTCCCATTGGCCATTAATTAGCAGTTGTTGTATTGCCGGCGCCGCTATGAGATAAGGTAGGCTCAGTAAGGACTTGGTCCAATGGCAAAGCTGCATTTTGGTCTAAGCGTCGACTTCAGCAAGGCGGTTGGCTGAGTTTGGAAACCGAATGAGTAACAGCAAAAGTACTGAATGCTCCGCAAATATCCTGACAAAGCAGGGCGGACTTTCGATTTCTAACGACAATACACTAATGAAGCTGCCGCGTTTCGTGTTTGTTGCCTACTATGTGTAGATTTAGGGCAGAAATATTTAAATGGACGTCGTCCGGCCATGTCTTGGTTTGAAGATTGGCCAGAATCATCAACAATTTGCTCATTCACTTAGTACTCTCATCAAGATACTCTCTCTTTGAAAACCAAAACCAATCATGTCCATCAAGGAAACCCTCGAGTGTACTGCCTCCAGCTGGCTTAAAGACTTGGAAACCCGCTCCATTGAAAACGTTGTGCCCAAATGGACCGAAGATATTCACTGCGCAGTTCATCCGGATACGAACGGTATCTACCCAATGAACAGAGAACAGTAAGTCCCTGGCCAAGGCTTTTTCCATCTCTCAATAAAGGACTCCATTAACGTTAGGTCCAGGTTCCGCACCAATGGCCGTGCAGCGAATATTTTCCAAGCACTTGAAGTCGTTCAAGATCACCATCAATGAAATGTTCACCGATGTGGAGAAGAGGACGGTGACTATGGTGTGCACCAGCAAGGGCGAAACGGCGGCTGGGTCGTACGGCACTGATTGCCTGTTCGTGGTGACTATGACGGATGATGGAAATAAGATTCAGAAGTTGGCTGAATGGATTGACTTTCAGAAAGGTCAAGGCGCACTCAGCAAGGCTGTGCACTAAATCGGCAGGTTGTGACCGACATAACGACTGTAATGAAGACATTGAGACCCAGATTTTCAATCGTCAATTCCAGTGTGAATTCTTGGTTCTTTTATTCCGGTGTCTCAAGTCGCTAGCCTTAGTGTTGCCTTTGCATTGGGACTTTTAGCAGAACCCGCGAAGGTTTCGATCCTAGCTCATCTGACATCTATTGTCGTAGCAAATCAATACCACCAGACGGTGTTTTAATTATGGATTCCAGCCTTTCCTTGTGGGGAACACAACGTGTGTTGAAAGAAGACGTCGCGAACTTGGCGTGTATTAATGCCTAACGTCCATGAATAGAGGCCATACCGTTCGTTAATACATAGCGCGGACGCTGTTCCTCTGACATGAGCTCAACTCATGAAATACGAAGATAATATGAAGGGGGCAGCTTTCAGGAGCCCACCACCCAAGAAATACAAGTCATGCCCACGCCGCTGTGTTCAGTCATCATCGGGATTTGGAAGTTGGCCAACCTGAGACATCTGACTCAAACTCGCCGAACTCGCCGAGTTTCTAGAAGGCGTGAGAGATACCGCTGGGGTCGGGATTGCGTATCTATGGTTTCGGCCCTCGTCTATGTAAAGCTTTCTTGGCCCGGGAGAAATCAGTAGAAAGGTTTGCAACACCGTCCACCTGTCAAAGGAGAAGCCTATGCCGCATGACCTTCATTCACTCTTTTCTCTTTCCCACTTTTTCCTGCTTGTGATGCTCGCTTTGCTGCGTGCCGCCCTGCATGTCCCCCAAAGCTTCATGATCGGGCAACATGCAGTACATATTGCAGCCGAGTATGCAAGTCAGAATCAGGCTAGCCAACAGAGAAACAATCTCACCCACCACCGGCAGGTCGGTGAGCATTTAGCGCATGCCAAATTCCAAACTATTGTCTCCCAATCTGCAAATATTCTTTCTGTTCAGAACTTCAGAGCGGGGTCATGCAGCGCGCATGCCGTCCAAGTCGTAAACCCACGATTCAAATCAACCTCGGAGCTCAGTGCCAATCACTAATGGTGTGTTCATTTCGTACCAACGTTGTATGTCACATCTCATAATAGTAAGGAGTAAGTGACTTCATGAGAATGCCTGTGAGAAGGTGTTGCCAAGCTTCAAAACTGGTCTTCGGCGGGTGACTCCGCTGTGTCGCCAGCAGGCATGGAGTGAACACCTATATATTCAGATGTTCTTCGTTTCCCTCCACCACATTCCAGTTCTTCTCTTTATTGTAACAACAGATCCAGCTTTGGTGCTTCTTTTTGTGATCTTCAGCCTCTCCAATCAACAGGACCTTAGCGACAGTCTCCCTCCCTTGACTGAAGGCCTATGTGCATGCACAGCCTCCAAACCTATGTGCCAAGGTCTTCATCGTTCGGAACGGCTTGGTTGAATTGACCCAACACCTGGTACGTAACATTTATCCCATATAGCCAAAAGTGCGATCAAGGCTTGTTGGTGATTTTCACCCCTTCATGGGACTGGGCCTTCAAGCTGAAGGCGCCATTTTGCTAACATAACTTTTCAAGCAATCTTTCATCAGCCAGCACTTTCTCGAGACTCGCCAAGGTTTAGCACCAAGACAAGATCATCCCAGGTGCCGAAAATGAATCTTGAAAACAGGGTACGCGGAAAGCTCTGCAAGGGTGTCGATGGCCAGGGCTTTATTCCCGATGCGGCTATCAACGAACTTTCCAGTCTGGACACGGTTCAAAGGTATCTTGAATTTGTTCTCCGGCAAGACTCCTCGCATCCATCAATAGTCGAGCTAGTGAAATACGTAACCAATCAGACCGGGCCAGCGAAAAAGGTGTTCTTGATCTTGGTGTTGTGTGGTCACTTAGAACATCTGAGCTCGCTACTTCAAGCCGGCTTTAGCGACAAACATCTTCCAATTGAGTGTGACTGGAATAGCACGACCGAGCGTTACATTGTCACAACCTGGCGTGAGCCAGAGACTCACGGAGGATCAACTTTGTCATGGGAAGCTTTCGGTGGGTGGCCCGCAGCACACGTCACTTCTTTCGCCGAAAACCAATGGATTTTCCTGGCTCCGGTTTTCACTCCTCACGTCTTTGACTTCGTTCTACCCCAACGATGTCCGTTTCCAATCCTGAAGAAACACGATCATTCTAAGCGGGGCTACGCTGGCTCGGTCTATGAAGTCAAGATCCACGAAGATCACATGCAGGTAAGTGTCATTGACAATTATCCGAACCGAAACGTTTCTCACAAAAGCCGACGTCAGATTGAGCTCGGAACTAAGTCGATCGCTATGAAAGAAATGCTTCCCAACAAGAATGACTACTATCTGAAGGAGGCAGCTTCTCTTCGTATCATACGCGAATTGAAGCATGATCACTTGATACAACCCTTGGCTGCTTACAGACGAAGCGGTGGCTCAGGTCTGTGTGGTTTCTTGTTCCCATGGGCCGAGGGCGGAAACCTTGAAGAGTTCTGGAAACGGCCCACGAAGCGAGCTGCTGCAGACCCAGAACTTATGAAGTGGTTTCTCAATCAGCTTCGTGGTCTTTCTGGAGCAACAGAAGCGCTACATCTCAAGAATTGTCGTCACACTGATCTCAAGCCTTTGAACATTCTTCTGTTCCACGAAGGTGATTCTCCAGGAACTCTTCGCATTGCAGATGTCGGACTTGCCAAGATACACGACGACATCACTCGACACCGCCAGGAGATTACAAATGCGAAGACAGGCTCCTTGCGATATGAACCACCTGAGTTCAGGCGCACGAATCAACTGTCTCGCGTGTTTGACGTTTGGTCTCTGGGTTGCGTCTTCTTGGAATTCTTGACGTGGACAATCTATGGCTGGGGACGGTTGAATGATTTAGTCCAGCATACCGACCGCTTCTGGATGGAGACTGACGACGGACCCCAGCTACACTCAGAAGTGAAAGCGTTGGTGGAAGAAATGCGCAGAGATCTAATCATCGGCGTTTCTGAGACTGCATTGACAGAGTGTCTAGTGTTGGTCTCTGAGAAGATGCTCGTGCCAGACTGGGAGACGCGGTCGAAGGTTTCGGATGTTCATTTGGCACTGAGAAATGTTTGCAAAAGGGGCAAAGAGGAGAGCTACCTCCTGAATAAAAGCCTTCCCAGTCTAGGTCCCTCCTCTAATTAGTCTTGGGGCGCAGCTAATGAGGGGGCTGCAGGTCTGGATGTCATGGCCCAATATGATCCTAGCCTTGGTGGCATGAAGGCAAGAGATGATTCGACGTCTTCCCCATGGATGCGTAATACAATAGTGAGCGCAGCTTTCAACACTTGACAAACAATGAATATACAGAGACGCTAACAGTTTTCACCTATTGCAGTATGTTTGTGATCATCTTTGATGGATATGAAGGTTTTTAAAACTCTAACAGGCTGACAGAATGTCGTGATAACCCCTTCCTTTCCATCAACGCACCCCGCTCGATATACGTCCCGCTCTCGTGGCATACAAGAAAGCTGACTAACACTATTTAGATGGTTTGTAGATGTCAATGAACATCATACATGAATTCCAAATGTTTCTAACATTTACAGACCGTCAGTCTCTTCTATTCCAGCGTAATTTTCGTAGCTGACATATGTCTGCTGTACCAGGAAGTTGGGCAGTTGAACGGCAAGTGGGATTCAATGATTGACAACACTTTCGCCAAAAGTCTTTTCAACGGCTCTCTCGGACACTGGAATTTGACTCCAAAGCACTTCTCTGACTTGTGCTCTGCATGTGTTACCCTTTCAAGAATTGACTTTGAGATTTCCGATCCAATGGAGGTCATTCGCGACCGGTCTAAAGAATGTTCTCTTTGCGGCCTTCTGTATCAGACTGCAAGCGACATCGGTCTCGGGGATAGCGATTTCAGATGCCGTCGAGCCGGCTCAACGATAAGGATCGGGCCTAACGACCAATCAATCTTGTCGATTTACACTAATCCAGGTACGTGTATACCTTGTCCGCGTCGCTTGTCTCAAAGAGGAACCTTTGTATTTACTCATGACGAAGACGACATGGAAATCGGATCATCTCCGTCTTGGGCGCAGATAGGGTGGGCGCAACTGCCAAAGCCAGGCAGCAACTCACAGATCAAGCTGTTCAAAGAATGGTTACGAGTTTGCGACGAACAACACAACCACCACTTCAACCCCAGAAACAAACTTCCTACCCGCGTTCTTGATCTCGGAAGCACAGAGAAGCCCAACCTCTGCCTCTGTGATGGGTTTACATCCATGTCAGAAGGCTACGTTGCATTGAGTCACTGTTGGGGTGTTGATCAGCATTTCAAAACTCTCCAGAGTAACATCGATGCGTTCAAGCAGCATATTAAATTTGACAACCTCCCGGCAACTTTCAGAGATGCTATTAGAGTGACGATGGCTTTGGGATTTCGCTATCTTTGGATCGACTCTCTGTGCATTATTCAGGACGACCCTGATGATTGGGAACGAGAGGCGGCCTCCATGGAGCACGTTTTCAGCTCGGCAAACTTGACCATTGCTGCCAGCTCGGCCAGGTCATCCTCAGAAGGATTCTGGTTAAGTAAGAGACCGCAACAGCCACGAGTCGCCATCAGAGCGCCTTCAGGGAGCAGCCTTCTCTTCACCAGATTCAGCGATGATTTCTGCCAGGATGTTGAACAGTCCGTTTTGAATGAGCGCGGGTGGGTTCTGCAAGAGAGAGCACTTGCGCGACGCACCATTCACTTCACGTCGACCCAGGTCTACTGGGAGTGCGGATCGGGCATTCACTGTGAAAGCTTGATGAAGCTTGTCAAGTAAGTCAGCATTTTCCGTTGAAGAGCAAAACCTGTGAGAAGATGCTCATTCATGTTGCCAGCCCCAAGGCCGCCTTTCTTGGCGATTCCGACTTCCCCAAATCGGCGCTGGGGTTATTCAAGGGCGCAAGAATATTACTTTTCCAGGCTCTGTACGAGACCTACTCCGCACTTGAATTCACGAACATTACAGATCGTTCAATTGCAATCAAAGGTCTCGAGGGAAGACTTGTCAACACGTTTTCGACCAAGGGCGGATTCGGAGTCTTCGAAGGCTACCTGCATCGGAGCCTCCTTTGGCAGAGGCGAGGAGAGACGGCTCTCGCTCCAATTACCTACCCCGCCAAAAGACACGTCCCCACATGGTCGTGGATGGCATACACCGGCGGCATATGCTACATGGAGGCGATGTTTGACCATGTAGACTGGACCAACGACGTGTTGTCCCCTTTCGTCACCGAAAGCGGACGGAAGCAGCATTGGGAGGCTGCTAACAACGATATTGTACCTTGGCTTCACTGTCGAGTCAAACAGCTGAAATTGAAGGACTCCGACATCTCGGAAAGAATCGTCTTTGACGATGCAAGACACTCGGGCATCGAAGGGCTTTTCTGTGTTGTTCTTGGAATTGATAAAGTAGCCAGCCCTCCTGACAGTGCTGTACATTTTGTTCTGGTTATCACAAGGGCTCCGCAAGCTGAGTTTGTACAGTATACAAGAGTAGGCGTGGGTAAATTGCTTCGGAAACATGTCTCAGAGGATTTGGGAATGTCTGTCATTGTATAGTGGATGGAGCCCTCTCCCTACGTCACTTGTGTCTCCCGATGGAGACTGGCTTCTCTATAGTAGGTATCTTCCTATGTATCCAATGTTCATGATATGTATATATACATATTGCTAACAAAATTCCGTAGGCTTGTTTCTACCCATGCGTTTGTTCCCCTTGAAAAATACGAACCAAACGTCATTTCCCCTTCAACGATTGAGAATGCGGGTATGGTATCAGGCTTGGGTCATGAATTAGAATCGGCAATATTTGGAATAGAGTCCGACGTCTTACAAGATTTGTCGTCCGGTATTCCGCTGGCAAATTCTTTGAAAAGTGCTTGTGCTTTTGCCATACCAGATTTTTTAACCCGGACGATGTAGATACTATGGCGCATTTCTATGGTAAAACTGTCCTTCGGCAAACGATCCTCGAGAATTTTCAGAAGTTGCGATGAGCTGATAAGATTTGTATGGATCTCATGATTGTCGGTCTCGCTGGCGTTGGTATCGTTAATAATGTCGCCTTCAACTCTGGCGACATTCGTCGAAACTTGAGTGCATGCCATCTCAGTAACAAGTTTAAACAGTAAAGAAGAGGCGCACAGCCCTCCAGATTCTTGTTCTGAAGTGCAGGTAATGTCGACTTTTTAAACAAATGTTACAAGGCAGTAATAGAAGTCAAGAACAGAGCCTAAACTTAGAGTGTCTGGCTGACGCCTTGGGGGCCATTGCTGCCTTGACGAGGCGGAATACGAGGAGCTTGCAGAGTTGGAGTCGAGGAAGAATGCCGACAGGTCACAAGAATATGATCATTGTTTCTATTTGCAGATGTAGGTGGTCTCGGGATGCGGATGCAATGAATGTGCAGAAATTGCTGACCACCACCTCCTGTCAACCGAGTGAGAGCTCTCGGTGAAGGTTTCAGCTCGAGCCTCGCATCATGAGGATGAGCATTTGTCAGAGACTTGTTGTTTCAGCGGGTGGAGGCTATGCCGAAACCTCAACTACTGGGTACATTCATGTGTTAGGCTGCATGTCGAGACACCCATATCATTGCGAACGAGGCTATGAACGTACCGGATGACCGCCTCGAGTGATCTTCGACAACCACTTTCTTTCTTGCTTCTGCAAGGCTCGCGAGTGAAGATGTATTTCCGCGAAGCTGAGCCACTTTAGCCGGCGAGGCAGACCAGTAGCTTGTTCGCACTTTTGGGTGCTCAGACCTGCTGGTGGTGTCGACGAATGGGTCCTCATCTAGCTAGTTGAGCCTTCTCAAGTCAGATGGCCTCTGTGGACAATTTGTAGGCTTGGCAGTAGGCTGAACGCAGTGATAAAGGTCAAAACGTTGATTGAGATTTTGGGGGCTACGATATGCTCAAGATCAGAAGCTCCAGACGTAGAAGAGCTTCATCTCACCCGGCCTTAAAAAAGGCCTGAGATTCCATTGTTTTCTAGATTTCTTATCTGGCGGGTGAAATATCTCTCAACGCACGACGACTAGATTCTTCGATCGACCATGGAACCCATGAGAGATTCAACAAGGAAGTTTGATGACATTGGATCAATCTCTTATCACATGCCGCTCACATCCGAAACCTTACAACCCAGCCAGAAGGCACCATTCTTCGACGAGGTATCGCTGATTTTGTCAGAGGATTCCTCGTCGAGACAATCCTTTTCTTCTTCAACCTCAGATTCATTACGCCCTGGGTTCACACAGGCATCGTTTTTAAACAATTATTTTCATTCCCCTGGTGCGCCCGAAGAGGGCATCGATCACACCATCAAATCACCTGCCACCGTTTCTGATTCCGGCTACTCCGCAGAAGCATCTTCGCACCTCCATCACACGGTTGATGGAGTTGCCAATCAGATGAGATCCTGTTTTGAGACGTCAGCACAAAACGACGAAGTCTTCCTGCCTTGCGACAAATTGCGCGAGCTGATCAACATCGAGGCAGTTCGCGATATCTTGTATGACACCTTCTCTAGAAGCCGAAGTCCGTCAGATATAGAGCGTATGAGTAGCCAAGTTCTCGGAAACGGTCTCCGACGGAAGATCTTTGCAATTCTCGTTATCATCAACAGGGTTCAACTCGTCGACGATTTCATTGAAGGTGGTATTGAAGACGGTGATCTTCCGTTAGAGGTCACAAGAACCAAAAGGGGTAATGTTTTATCCCAGGACCTTTGCAAGAGATCAATGCGACCTCCAGACGATGAATTTCTGGAGCCTATAAAGTCTCTGAGTCAATGGTCATTTACCGACATGGAAACATTTCGAAATCAGCAGAAAACCTTCTGTGTTCCCACGTTCGAAGTACCTGGCGAGGGGAGGCCCTTCTTCGACCTGAAAAACAGACCAATACTTCCATTCCTGGAGATCGATCAACAACTTTCAGGTGGCTACGGAACCGTGAGGAAGGTCAAGATTCACGAGTCCCATTACATCAGGGGAACTGAGGGCAAGGTCAGAAAATCCCTAACAATACGCCACGTAAGGCTGATGGTTTTCATACAGATCCAGAAAGGGAAGGGCGAAACCTATTTCGCAGTAAAAGAGCTCAACAGCACCATGCTTGAAGCGTACGAGGAAGAAATGAAGCTCTTCGACAAGCTGTCTGGACATCAGAATTATCCGAAGCATCTTATCGAACTCCGATTCAGCTACTTCTATGCCGGTCGTTACTTCCTTGCGTTTCCTTGGGCTGATGGAAACCTCCAAGAATTCTGGGCGAAAGTCCCAAGGTTCAGCCCGTGTGTCAAGAGTGATGCTGTTTGGCTTTTGACACAGGTCATTGGCCTGGTACGGGCTTTGCAGAAGATCCACTATGTCATCAGCATATCGTCGAAAACAGATGAGCTCTCAGATGTATCGAACAACAAGAAGGACAGCCAGGTGTGGGGAAGACATGGAGATCTCAAGCCCGAGAACATTCTTTGGCTCCAAACGCATGACAACATGCAAAACTTTCTGGTAATTTCTGACTTTGGGCTCACGCGATTCAACTCAGCGAAATCGAAGTCCACAGTACCACCTGATGGCATTTCTGGATATTCTGGCACATACAGACCTCCAGAGATTGATCTAAAAAGCTACATTTCGCCCAGGTATGATATCTGGTCTCTGGGATGTGTCTTTCTGGAATTTGTTTCCTGGTTTTTACTCGGACATGCGGAGACTCATGACTCGTTCACTACGCTACGCCTTGAGGATGAAAAGAACGAACGTCTCCCGGAAGACAAGTTCTTTGTGATTACAGGAGCAACTAATACCCCGCTTCATAAGAGAAAAGCAAGTCTCAAGCCGGCTGTTATCAAAGTAAGGACGTCCTATGCCTTCCTTGGAATGATCAACTCGGAATGGTAGCAAAACACTGACGATCCCACAGTGGATTGAGAAGCTTCACCAAGACGAAAACTGCACAGAGCCACTGCACGTCTTTCTTGACCTCATCGAAAGCAGAATGCTTCAGCCCATGCCGAAAGAGAGATTTAAGTGTGAGGAGATTGCACTTGAGCTTGAAGCATTGAGGAGCAAATGCGAAGCCAACGAGGCTTACGCCACACGCAGCAAAGTTGACACGAGAAACCTGTCGCGGTTTCCAACTTTATATGGGAGTAGCAAGAATGTAGGTCTCGATATTCTCTATTGTCTTAATCCATTAGGCTGCTTGAGTACTTACATTGTATGAAGGATTCGGACGCGGGTCAACCTTCTAATACTGCGACCAACACTGCAACCCATACCGCTAACAACACTGCGATCAGCGCTACGAGTGACACTGCGACCAAGCCCATTTCCGCGCGTCTAAGCGGTGGGCTTTTTCTTGTGATTGCTAAGTCCTTGAGATCTATTTTCTCAAGTCTGAAGCGCCTCCTGGCTTTCCCGCGTCTTTGGCAGGCGAAGCTAGTCAGCGAAGCTCCAGCTTCACGTTAAGTCTTGGTTTTATGAGATCATAAGTACAGATATCAGGCAGAAACTGCCCTGAACTACTGAACCACATGGTCACCAAGCATTTCAATGTTTACGTTGTCTTCATGTTATGGTAAAAGGTGTCAGAAAGGAGTTTTGTTCGCAATGTTAGAAGACGGGTTAGAGAACGTACTCAAATACCTGGATTGTAGGATTCACATCTTGCTGCCGTGTTTCTTGCACTGTGGAAAGTTGGCGTCCGTTCATATTTAAGGCTTAACATATTCTTAATGGATAAAAGTAAGATAAGCTCCGCTCCAAAATTATGGTGTCCGCTTTTTCCCCAAGAACGAGTCCAAGAACGTTGCATTGCACTAAACGAATAAAAAGCTTTGCAGCACTTGACCCTTGCGGCTGTGAATAAGTTCAATCAGGAACTCCTTTGTATATTACCTAGACCACACTGGATCAGTTTGCGGGTGGGTTTGATGAAGAAGTTCAAGAAGCGTTGTGAAAGCGCGTTGTCATTGTTTCTGCTATCCCTTTTCGGCTTCATCCCCCCTCCGCCCCCTTCCCTTGACTCTCCGTTCATACTTTCGTACAGCAGGTCACCGCCTGCGAGTATGCTTTTTGGAAAGCCGGATAGAAGGACAAAACAACGCGACACGGAGCATGAGTAGTTTTCAACAGCATTGGCAGATGCCGGAATGTTTGATGAATCACGAGACATCTTTAGCCGAGCTTCTTCGGGTTATGATGGGCAGGATGGACCTCCCTCCACCAGCTTTCACTCGAATTGGAACTCCGCTTCGCGCTCCTCTGGATGTGAGTAGCTGGTAGGACCTCTGGGCATGGCTTCAGAGGAGCCCTGTCGCACCTCAAGTCGAAGCTCAACCGATGGAGGTCCAGAAACAGCAGCTTTCCGGGTACATGTGTCAATAGGGGGGACGTCGAAACCAATAAGCGCCAGAGCCACAGATAGAACAGGCACCATGCATACAACAGGCACGAGAAAGGTCGGGCACAGCGCCGGTGAAAATGTTGATTCTCAATTGCTAGACCCTGCGCTTTATAAAACTGCTGGCCTGCAAATTCTCACACAATCATGTCTGCTATTGCCAGGCGTCTTGCAATGCAACGAATGCTCGTTATTTCAACGCTTTGAAGGAGTTGAGGATCTGGTCTGTTGCGGCTGTAATGTCCCCAGTGCTGGAATATCAAGCATACTACCTAGGTAATACCCGTGGGTGACCAACATGGGGTTTTGACTGCCCTAGGATGAGAAGGTAGATTTCGATTGTAGGGCTTCGCTGCATAGTTTGGTCGAAAGGGTCTCTTGGTGCGTGACTATTGCGTAGTCTCTTCGTAAGGGTAGCGGTCAAAGGTGTTCGCGCATGCGATCATCTCGGTTGCCATTCGTACCTAGGGGCTTATGCCATCATTGCCACTCCGGTAAGCAGTCTTTATAAGCAAAGGCAACCATGAAAAATGAACTCGGCTTCATTAATGATGTGTGGCTCTAGCTCAGATTTCTTAAACCTTTCAGCGGTCCATCACGGCCCAGAACCCGCGCACCGGCAAATTCCAGCTCAGTCGCCTCGGTAACTCTCAGAGCGGACATGTGCCCCGCCACCATTATTTCCTTTCCCTCTAGTCCATTAAGCCGGAAGTCTGTTTATTTTTTGGTTTCATCAAGCGGTAAGGGCAAGCAAAGACAGCACAGGAAGGAGCACCCCAAATGAGCTTGAGGTAGTGATACTCGAGGCCGCCGAGCTACCACTGCCGCTGCTTGAAGAGCTCTCATTGCACGAGACAAAGCCGTTGCGCTGGACGGCGCCGGTGTGGGCCATTGCGCCGACAAAGATGCAGCTGCCCCGGTAATCGGGGTCGAAGACCACACGGTCGGGGCCCGGTGCCCCTGCGCGAAGCGCGTTAGTCCCAACATATCGAATGCCAAGAGGTGGTGTTTGCGAGTCAAGGGATGCGGGGGTGTATTCGTGGGGGACTTACTGCCTGTGTAGTTTCCAGACGAGATGATGGGGAACTCTTGGTAGGGGCCGGAGGTGTCGAAGGTGAGGCCCTCGCGGTTGTTGAAGCGGTGGGGGTACTCGCTGGTGCCGACCTGCTGGTTGTTGGCGTAGAGGCGGCAGCCCTCGGCGACGGCCTCGTCGACCTGCTTGCGGGAGTACTTGGCGTCGCCGCAGCGGATGGAGCCGAGGCCGGTGGTGCCCTGGCGCTTTTCGAGGGCGATGGGGTTGGCGGCGGCGAGGACGGCGCAGAGGGCCAGGGCGAGGGTGGATTTGAGGCTGACCATGGTGGGTGGGATGAGATTGAGGTGAGTTGTAGTCGATGCAACGGTCGATGTGGTGGATGAAGATGGTTTAATGAGTCGTGGTTGTTGAGAGGTGGAAGTGAGGCGAATGTTTGTTGCTGTAACGGATTTGAGACGCGCCGTGAGGGTGGATGGGTGAAAGGGAAGGGCCGGCCCGCGATTAATAAAACTGTCCGGCGGATGGTCTCGACCTTCTACCAGAATGGGTTTCGAAAGATGGGAATGTTGTCCAAGAAAAAAAGAAGAACACCGAGAATAGAAGCCAGAAAGAAAACAACAGATGGCGCCGAGAGGGTCGCCTAGAGCTTGGCCGGCGCAAGGTTCCCGTTTGCCAAGTGAGTTGCCGACCGTCGATGGCGTCTCGTTCAGCTGTCTTGACGCCTCAAAGGTGCCCCCAAGACGGGGAAACGGGCCCCTCGGGTGCCTGACATGCGCTGGCTCCCGCCCGAAAATGTGTCAGAGGTTCCCTGACGAGCTGCGCTGAGTGAGGAACCGAAGCCAACATCACGTGTGGCGTCGTCTGCACCAATCAAATCCTGCGAAAATGAAAAGAAAACATAAGCTTAATCTTGAGGAGAGGCCGCCCGGACGCAGTGCTCCACTTTAATTACCGCCCCCCTCTCGATTCTTTTGCGGAAGGGGCCGAGCAGCCGAACCGCCCAATGCAAAACACACAAACAGCTCAAATGGATGCACACAGAGACAAGACGAGACGTCGTTTGCATTCTGAGCCTGTATCAGCAAATCAAAGCCACACCTGCGATCTTGGGGCTTGCGCGTCTCCCCTGTGCCACGACCTCTGCCGTGCCGTTGCATCCCGCCTCGCCTTATCCTGCGGTGCCACGGTGACTGACGCGGAGCCCGGAGCGCGCCGGACCATTTCCTTTGCCCAGTGCGATTCCTTTCGCATTCATTTGATTGGCAACGTGGCAAGCTGAGCCGAAATGAGGTAGATGCGGGGCCGTTGCACACAGTGTTTGCTGCGGAGGCACGGTGCTTGGAGATCGACGTCAGTGAGGCCAACACGCCTCCACGTGGGCTGCCTTCCTCGTCTTCCAAGCTTTACGTCCATATTCCACGCGGCTGTTAACAACACGTCACCGTTCTCATCGTCTTTCCATACTTCAACCACTCCTCACAGCCATTCCCCAACTTATCAACCACATAACCATCCAAACTCGAAAAAGATCATGACCGTGAATAGTGCCATTGCGGGGCTCCCCGCCTACAAGGCCCTCGACGCCTACCTCACCACCGGCGGCGACAAGAACTCCCTCGACGACACCATCCATGAATACAACGACCTCGCCAAGGCCGCCGAGTCATCCCTCGAAGACTTCCTCTGGGACACGTACAACGCCATCTTCGCGACCGCCAAGCAGACGCCCCCGGAAAAGCAGGCGCCCCTCGTCGACTTCGTCCAGCGCCTGCGCGAGACCACCGTCACCGGCGCCGACGGCCAGGCCCTGCACCTGAGTGAAGGCGTCGTGTGGAAGGATCTGCCCACCTTTGGATGGGTTGCTCGCGATCTCTGGAACTTTGGTGCGTTTGCAATCTTCAAACTCCACGTTTCCTGATTTGCTGGTATCAGTGTTGTGATATCAACCTGCCTAATCGGGAAACGCTCAATGAGGCCTTTAATCTCTACATTTTGCATTCGCTAATAACACCGCAGACGTCACCGACGCATCCGCTTCAAAGGAGGACAAGAAATCCTGGGACAACCTCGCCGCCTTCCTCGCGCAACTCACCTCCCGCGCCTCCGTCTCCGAGGGCACCGCCGACCCGCTGGACTACTCCACCTACGGCCTGTGGGCCCTGCGCACCGCCTTTGAGGAGGAGCACCCCGCCGGCGCGGACAAGAGCGCCGCGCTGAGGCAGGCGTCGATCTGGATCAAGTACTCCGGCGAGACGCTGCAGAAGCTCGCCGCCCGCGACGCCCAGCTCGAGGCCAAGACGGGCAAGGCGGGCGGCAAGTTTGGCGGGAAGGAGTGGAGGGGGTTCAACCAGGAGAGGTGGGGCGTGTGGACGGAGGCGTTTACGGCGGCGCAGGGTGAGGTTGCTGATGAGGAGGTGAAGGGGTTGGCTGAGGAGGCTGTTGGGATTATGAGGAAGTGAGGGATGGGAGGGTTATAGATGAGATGATGAAAATGAAATGAGATTAATGAGGATAATGAGGATAATAGACAAAGAAAAGCTTTCTATGACTCTATGGCAGGGCCTTCCGATCGCATCGTATCATATGTCGAAGTTTATCAGTGTAATGGCCAAGAGGAATCACCCCTCCTGAAGCTTCCACAACAAGGCAAACACACCACCCCGCTCAAGCAGCGTCTTCGGGTGATCAAATTCGACAACTTCCCCATCCTGCAGTGCCACGATCTTGTCAAAGTCAACAACGGCCTGCAGACGGTGCGCAATCACAATGACAGTCCACCCCTCAAACTCGCTCCTGATAAGGTCCTGCACAACCTGCTCCGTCGCCTGGTCCAAGCTGCCAACACGTCAGTCAACATCACGACAGCATTCCGGGCAGAAAAGACATACCTGCTCGTCGCCTCGTCCAGCAACAACACCCTGCTCTCCCTCAACATCGCCCTCGCCATGCAGAATAGCTGCTTCTGACCCGCGCTCAACCACTCCGTCTCAAAGTCCACATCCAGCCCGCCCTTGTCCTCAAAGAGACTCTTCAGGCGCGTTTTTTCTAGCGCTTCCCATACCGCTGCGTCGTCGGACTTGTCCAGTGGATCGAGGTTCCGCCGGACGGATCCAGGGAGGAACAAGGCGTCTTGCGGGAGTGCGACTAGACTTTCTCGCAGCCGTGAAATCGGCACCGTCGAGATATCCACCCCGTCCACTTCAATACTCCCGGACGAAGGGTCATGCAAACGCAAGAGGAGGGCAAGGAGGGTTGACTTGCCGCTCCCCGTACGCCCGCATATCGCCACCTTCTCACCAGGCTGGATGTCCAGGTTAATCCCCCGCAGAACTTGGTGGTCATCATACGCAGCAGCCACATCACGAATCCTCACACGTCCCCGATCAGGCCACACGCTCTCCACCTCCTTATCCCCGTCAACCTCCGCCGGCGTCTCCATCTGAAACTCCCTAATCCTCGCCACAGCCCCCAGGCTCGTCTCCAGATCGGCCCAGTACTTCAGCAACAGCATCAACAAGTACCCGAACCCCATCACACTAACCAGCGCCACGCCCAGCAACCCGGCATCCACGCTCTCGCGCAGCGCAACCGCCAGACCGACGAGCAACACCGCCAGCGCCGCAACGATGAGGTTGAGTACTAGGAGGAGCCACTTCTGCAGACTCCCCATGACGTAGAACGCGCGCTGGCTCATGTCAAGCCGCGCGAGGTTCTCCGCTTCGGCGGCGGCGGTGACGGCGAGCGCGCGGATGGTGACGAGACCAGAGGCGGAGGCGAGAAAGTGCGAGAAGAGCGGGGACTTGGCTTCGAGGTCGAGGAGGCGGATCTGGCGCGAGGTTTGGAGGTAGATGCGCTGGAGGAGGTAGAGGGCGAGGAAGAGGAGGGGGATGAGCAGGGTTAGCTGGGGCGTGGCGAGGGTTGTTAGGATGATTTCGGCGATGGCGAGGGTGAAGTCTGCGATTGGGTTAGTGGTTTGCTAAAGAGGGGGAGGGGGAGGGGGGAGGTACAGTCGAAGGTGAGCATGAAGGCGAGGGGGAGGGGGAGGTCGATTAGGTTCATGTCTTGGCTGAATCTGTGGGATGTTAGATGGTGCGTTGGGTGTGGGAGGGGAGGGAGTACCGGTTGATGATCACGCCCGTGTCGGTTTTGACGAAGAAGGACATTGGGGCACTGTGATATGCGTCAGTGAGTTGAGATGGCGGGAGTGTGTGACTTACGCGAGTGCGGCTTTTAGGACGCCAAAGTGAAGGCCCTTGGCGGAGTGCGGGACGATGATGACCAGGAAGTAGCTCACATGAATCAGTAAAACCAAGGAATGGGCAGTTTGGTGGCAGCACTTACTACGTCTCAATAGCAACAGCAACTTCGGTCAAGACGCCCCAAAGGACGTACACTCCCACCCACATCCCCAGATTAGGATCAGAGTGGTCTTCGTTGGCAGCTACCCAGAACTTGACCCAAAGACCTACGTCAAACTCGTCAGAACCTAGCACATCGTCGACTGTCAATGGTGGTGGCCTTACGCTGCATCGTCCGACACCCCATCTGGAACAGCACCATCGTCGCAAACAGCAAGAACGCCGACGTGCCCATGGACTTGATGTAATACAGCAGCGAGCTGGTATTCGCCGCGCCACGGCTTGCTTTCAGCTTCTCGGCGCCATTGGGCTTCACCTCGGCGAGAGATATGTCTTTCTTCGGCGCTTCAACGTTATCTTTCGTCTCCTCATCGCTGTTCTCGGGTGTGTCCTCGTTCGAGTCACTCAGTGCCGTAACCCGCAGCTTGCTGACGTAGCCGTCGGACTTGCTGAGCTCCCCATAAGAGCCGCGTTCGGAGATCTTGCCGTCGGTGTTGACAGACAGGATCTGGTCGGCGAACCGGAGCCATTGGGCTGCAATCATGGGGTTTAGTCCTGTCTACCAGGGCGTTATCTCAAAGAAACCAAAAGGGGGAGCTTACCATTATGAGTTGCAAAGATGACAGACCTCTTTTGGTCAGCTTGAACGCTTCGTAGGAGCCCTTGAGCGGCGAACAGCGTGTTGAAGCACTTCGAGGCCGTGTTCGAGTCGAGGCCCTTGAGGGTATCGTCCATGATGATGATTTGCTTCCCGCTATAGATGGCTCGAGCCAGCGCCTGGGTAGACATAATCAGTGCGGAGCGAAGCAATGCAGAAAATAAAGCTCACGATGCGATGCCTCTGCCCGCCGCTCAAAGCAGCCCCTGAACTTCCCACGATAGTGCCATCTGCGTCCGGAAGCAACCGGATGTCCTCCTCAAGCTGACATGCCGCAATCACCTTATCATAAAGCACCGCGTCATAGTTTGCGCCGCCGGTGATGTTCTCCCTGATGCTCTGGTTCAAAATCCAAGGGTCCTGGTCACAATACGCGACCTCTGGGCTCGCAGCGTACCCCACATCTCCCGCGATGCGATACGTCTCGCCGACCAGCGACTTCAACAGCGTCGACTTACCAGACCCGACTGGGCCAACAATCATAGTCAGCGTCGCCGGTTTGATCTCAAGATCCAGGTCGTGCAAGATGGCTTTGTCAGTACTCCAGCCAAAGGAACCATCAGAGACTTTGATCAGCGGCTGGTCGGGCGTCGGCTCCTGCACAACCCCGTTGGGCTGTCCCTGCCTCCTCGATTTCACGTTCCTGTAATCCTCCCTCTTCTCCTTGGCCAGAAACTCCTGGATCTTGTCAAGGCAGCCGATCGTCATGGCGAGGTGCCGCGGGACCATGACGAGCTCGGAGACGGGGTTGACGAGGATACCCAGCAGGGAGAGCGACGTGAAGGCCTGCACGACGTTGAGGGGCGCTCCGCCGGCGAGGCGCTGCGCGATGGCGAAGGCGGCGAGAGTAATTGAGGGAGTCATGATGGAGGGAAGCTGGCCTGCAAAACGATTGTGAGCTGGCCCGTAGTTTTTATTACGTAGACGAAAGGCCACTTACCGACGAGCACGTTGGAGATCTGGATCTTCCTAAACTCCTTGGACTCCTCGAGCTCAAAATCCCGCAGCCCTTGGATCTGGTCCTGCACTGTGCCGCTGAGGCCGCTCATCTTGACGCCCTTGACGGAGCCCATGACCTGTGTGGTGACGCCGACGCGCTTCTGGATGGCTTCACGCCAGCGGCGCTGGCGGGGCGGGATGAGCTTACCCAGCCGCGCTGCTATCAGAACGCTGACTGTTACATGTTTATCAGTGCATCTATTCTCGAGGTAGATGGAACATTCGCAGTGAACCCCTTACCGATGGCAATCAGGACAGGCGTGATACACGCAGCACCAAGCTGGTTTCCGAGAATCCACATCGCCAGCGCAACCTGGACGAGATTCGGGACGACGGCAAGGCACCACTCGGCCGCGACAGTGATCCACTCAACCTCGGTGCCCATGAGCGCAACGGCGGCCTCTGAGGTGCCGCTCTCGGCGCGGAGGGAGAGCATGTTTTGGTAGATTATGGCGATGAGGGCGCCTCTGATGATGGTTATGAGGCGGTAGGAGAGCTGGCTTGTCCACAGGGAGGATACCTGGTTGTAATGAATCAGTAGGAAACTCACACGGAGAGAGGGTAGGAATGGTTGTGTACGGCGTTTCCGATGAAGACGAATGCGAATTGGGCAATGAGCCAGTAGCCGTCTTCCACGGGCGTCGTTTCGTGGTTCTGGATGTACTCGATCGTGATCTGAACCAGGATCGGTTGGGCGAGGCCGAAGGCGACTTTGATGAAGCGGGGGAAGTGGGTGTAGAGGAGCTCTGGGGAGAAGGCCTTCAGGAGAGCAATTGAGAGGGCGTGGGTTCGGGTTTGGTCGACTGAATATCGGATGAGGTCAGTACCCAGTTCTTAAGGAAGTCAAATTGGAACTCGATAGTACAGTACCATTCTCCCAGGCTGTAGACAGTCTCTCCAGCAACCTTTCACCAGACAATGCCTCATCAACCGGCTCAAGGTCTTCAGTCACCAAGTCCTTCTTCCAGCCCAACTTGAACAGAGGGTTGAGCCAGAGCGAAAGACTCCGGCCAAAGATGCCAGATAGCTCCTCTCGGGTAGTCTTGGTGGCTGGAATGGTGATGAAGGCGGGCTTCGATGCCGACTCCGCTGTAAGCAGAACGGCCCTTATAACTAGTTGGACGGTCAGAAGATTGGCAATGGCAAGACCGCCGTTGTAAGCGTAGGCCCATTCTCTTGGAAGACGAGCTGCGTCAAGTATAATTGTTGCCAAGAGGGACGTCTGCAGCACAGCGGAGGGAGCACGAGCTCTTCGATGCTCGAGCCTGGAGACGAAGATGAAGAGGATGCTAGACGCGATGGCCAAGGAATCTGACGCGATGATGACGCTAGTGTCTCCGGCGACTTCTCCGCCCCGGAAGGCGGCTACGCCCAGAGTCAAGACTTGGAGCGCCGCGAGTGCGTGCCAGAGGATCTTGGTGGCAGTGTTAGCCGTACATATCGCGATGCTCTTCCAACAGTGGGCTTACAAGCTTGAGATGAGCCACCCATGATCCCTGGTTCACGGCTGGTTTGTTCCAGAGCTTCCATACACCATGTAGACCCCAAATGATAGCGATAGCGGAGGGTACGATTGACCCGAAGACTTCAAACTGATTATCGAAATACGGCGCTCGTAAGCAGCCTCGATGCGGCCCGAGAACGAGGCGGCCGAGACTGTCGTCGGGGCACACGGCGGCCCCGAATGGGACCCGCGGTGCTGGCCACAGACCCATTGCGGAGGTCGTAGCGAAATAAAAAGATGTGTCTATACCGCGATGGAACACATCAATCGCGACCGGCGTGCAATTGAGAGGTAAGTGAAGGGTAGACGACGTCGAATGCTGCTTGCTTCGACCACGTAAGATAACGGATGTCAAGGTACTGACGCCACACAACTCGGGCGAACCGAAACCGCCGTGTTACGAAGGGCGCAGGATCCTGCGGCACAGCAGCAGCAGCACCTGGAAGGCGTCGCAGAGAGCGTCGCTTACGCTGTGTATCTTGGGTGAGCAATATTTCCTTATTAGCCCTGACCTGCCTGAATCGGTTTGGGGGCTCAGGGGTCTGGTTCGGTTCGGTTGCCGAATAATCAGCTTGCCAGAAGGGACTTTTGTTAGGAATGTGGTCGTTGTCAGTATCGCGTGCTACGCAGGATTTACGAGGGAATTTATCCTTCTGTGCTGGAATTCCGCTAAGCAAAATTGATGTCATTCCTTTGGGTTTGCAATCGAATCTTAGTCGTTAGAGGCCATAGCGATGATCAAGAGAAGATATGGACACAACGAAGAAGTGTACTAGGTATTCAACAAATTTCTGCTCAATGTCTTCGCAACTGACGATAGCTCACACACCGAAATGGCTTCATGCAACGTGCAATCATCGATGCGGACTTTCCAAATCATAAATGCATTCATCAGGGGTATGTAACTTCCTGCCTTCCTCCAGGCAACATCATGCGTAAAGACCAACCTTGCGACTCATGAACGTCTCTAGCAACCATCTGCAGCCACAACGTCGGCACGATCGGAAGCCAAAACTCGCATATCTCCGTCCTCAAAATCTCTACTCCGGCAGCCCAAGATTCCCGCGCGCCATCTCTATCGCCCATAGCCAGCAGAGCGTGGGCCAGAGACAGATGAGTTATCGCCGTCGTGAACCCGCCTCCTGGCCCGAGGGTATACATCTTCTGAGCTTCCTCGAGGGCAAATTTCCACTGCAGCACAGCCGCCTGCCGATCTGCCCTCAAGCTGGCTATTCGCGCATGGCCTATGAACAGCCGCATGTGCAGCTGTTGGTCGTGCAGGTTGTCTAGTTCGGCAGGCTCGTAGCCCTCGAGCTCTTTCAGTGTTGCTTCAGCAGCATTCAATCGTTGAAGTCCGATATCGACCTCCGCTGATGCTAGCAGCAGCCTCCGGGGCCCGCGCCGGCAGCGCTCGGCGTCTTCCGTCGTGCCGAGCTCTGTTTGAAGTATATCGGCGGCCATCGCCCACTCCTGCATGTTGCAGTATATATCTGCAAGCCTGCCACACAAGAGGCGTCGCGTGTTCTGACGAATCGGCTTCGTCATGTCCAAAGACATCAAATGCTCTATCGAAGCCCTGGCGGCACCAAAGTCGCCGATGGATTGGAAGAAACGCGCTGCCGTGCTCTGCAATCGGAAGGTGACCTCTATATCGAGAGTCGACAACGGCTGTTCCGCTTGCCAGTTGTAGATGAATGACGACACATCATTGTCATAGCACTTGATCTTGTTTTCGATTTGAGAAATGTGCAGGCGTCCGAGAAGGGCGTGGTCCTTGCGAGTGGAAGGTTGCGGCCCTCGCCAGATGAAGTCGCGGATGTGCGCTTCCGACTTTGCAAACTCGCCGTCGAGCCGTAGCAGGTTGCTCCGGGAGAGGACCACCGATGCATGGAAGTAATACGGCATGGGCTTACGCAGGAACGATTTTGCTCTGTCGACGGCGGCGCGACGCATTGGTATGTGGTCCCGCTCGGAGAAATAGAGGAGCGCGTCTATGACCTCCGCCTTGAGCGGTGTTGGAACTTTGAAGGTTGTCGTGGCCTTGTCCATCACCGCCCAAACGGCGGCTTTGAGAGTTGGCGACCTAGCGGACCTTGCTTGTCAGTAAAGAAAAAAACATTGGGCGGGCAAAGCAACGAACCATTCTGTGTTTCCTTCGTAACATGGAGGGACGACAAAGCATAACAGTTTGAGTGCGACGTTGCCTAGTTCGTCCATTGTTTTGGGGGTTAGCACTCTGGAGAAGAACATTGCAAGTTCGGAGCATAGAGACCAGACGTTCGTCCTGTCTTCCAGGCCATGCTTGTTAATGTACGGGCTTTCTGTCGCGCGAGAACACTCTATGTCGTCGGATAGAAGGTTGGTCAGCTCGGTGGGCAGACCGAACTTGTCAGAGGTGACAGTTTCAATCTCGCCATCGCTGTTCCACCGCCGTTGCGGCGACCGAACGCCTTTCAAGAGGGCCTCGGGTACGTCGGAGCCTCCATAAGCATAAAGGAGTAATAGGAGTTGATCTGTTGCTGGAAGTACATCGGCGTAGTCATAGAAAAGATTGTAGTACGAGGAAGGCAATGCAGGGTCTGTGAATGGGCATTAGTATTAGGACGAATCGTCAAGAGTGTGGTGCGACCGACCTCGGAGTTGACTTAAGATAAGACGCTGCACAAATGCTGTATAGTCTTCGTATCTCGGTGACAGATTGAGCAAGTGGCTAAAGACTTCTTCGTCGTCTATGTTCAGATACCTCTCATATCTGTGACATGTAAGTGGCTGTTCAACCCAATACACCATGGAATTCTCACGTTGATGGCGGAACGTCTAGTGGAAGCCAAAGAATTGCTCCAAGACCGCCGAGTTTGCGTGCAATCTGAATATACTTCCTCCCTGAGTTGCGAATGTCGCTATAGTTGTGCTGCCCTGGGAATATTTCGGCAACTTGAGGCGGTACCAGTACTTGCGCATCCAACTTCGATCTGAGAAATATTACCACGCAGGCAAGTCGCCGGCGCAGTTCTGCAGGTACTCTGTTATCAGACACGGCCCAGAACCCGTCAATGTTTTCTCTGAACTGCTCCCGGACCTGGTTGACCGGCGTGAGGTCAAGCGAGTCGACGGCCAGCGCTTTGCTCGTGCGCTGGTTGCGGGGGGTGACGTGGAACTGCACATCGCGGGAGAGCGACTTGGACTGCGCCAGAAGCCGGCGCAGATCCTCCAGGTGTCGGTTAAGTGCAGGGATCAGATTTCTAGCTTGGCTCTCATCATATTGGTTCGATAGAAGTCGGACTGAGCTGCACAAGCATACCGCCTCCATCGTTGCCGTGGTGGCTGGCAGCAGGCGTGGGGTTTAGACTTCTGCACGCGATAATGAAAGGTCCAGTCCTCCTCACTGTGAGAGGATTAAATTCCTTCTTTTGCAAAACACGGTCTCCACCGACCGTTCTCGGCGCTTAACTCGGAAATGCGAGATCCCCGACCCGCTCTCCTTTTTTTTTTCCCTGTCCGTCAGACCATGCCGGGGTCAGCTTGGTTGCCTCACTTATCAATCGCCCCATGCTCCTGGACTAGTCCTCTTCGAGGTGACGTGGCATGGATATCTCCACTAAATAATTGAGATTTTGTTCTCGAGCTGTGAATGCTTTTTGTCTTCACGGCCACATTTGAGAGTCAACTTGTGTGCAAGACCTGCGATATCTTACGCTGGCGGATTAGTGCTTCATGCATGTCTATGTCTAAGTATTCTTAGCTTCGTCTATGATCAAAAGTTCTCAAAATGGATGTCTATCCTTAGCCCTCGGCTATTCCGCCATCTATCCGCTGAGTCCCTCACATCGTCCATGAGCGATTCCGGCCCGCATGTGGCGACCAGAACCCTCTGTTCAGTTGCAACGCCTTCTAACGCCACGCCGATCTCCTGCTCTATGTTGACTTTCTCAAATTTGATGTTGAAGGCGTCTTCGATCTCATTACTAGTAGTGCTCGTCAAGAGTCCCTCCGTATCGTGCGATATTGACCCATAGTTGACGGCACCTTCATTCATGCGTGTATTGCTGGGCATTTCGGTGGACGTTCCTTCTCTAGATGAATCGCCAGTGACGTAAAGTTTGACATCGATGCTCGATCCGGATCTTGAAATTTTGTGAAGGTGTTCTTGAAACCAGCTTAGATGTTCTGATATGGTGTTAGAAAACCATGTCTCGCGACTTGGGCATGAACTTGAAGAACCAACCTGATTGTCTCACTGTCCAGATAAAATCAACAGACTGAGCTTTGACTCGGTCATACCGGCTCATCATGCGGTTTATCAGACCGAAGGTGAATGCTGCTCCGCTGCCTCCAGCAACCAAGACTAACTTGTCGTAGGACTCTGTATCTGGCAGCGATCCATACGGACCATCCACAGAGGCCCACGCAGTGCGGTTGGATTGACTCCTAGAAAACTCGTCGACGCGTCTGGTGAAGCCTTGGTGTGACTTCATGACGAGCTCTAGACCTGCAGAGTCATTGTTCACGACTGTGAACGGATGATTTTCGTAAGGGTGAATACGTGGTATCCAGAGGAAACAGTGAGTTCCAGGCAGCATCTTCTTGACCCCTGGCTTTCTCAAGATCACCCTCGTGCCGCCGTCAGGGAGTGAATAGAAGGTCGCAGAGTTGTTTATGAGATTCAGAACCATTCGTGCCGCTCGTATCATGCGGTCGACCACCCACATAGCCGCAGTGAACGACATCACAACTGGGATCTTCTTTGCCCAGTTGGGTCTGTGAAGGCCGGTCAGAATAACAGCTGCCCCAAAGGCCACGATGTGGCTGATGTAAAACAGTTCGTAGCGGCGATGTCTCGCGATTCCCATGAGCAGAACAAGCATCGCAACACCTGCGCCGATGCCCTCAAGGTCTTCCTTCTTCAATATTTGAACCAGACGACCTTGGCGGCCGAAGTGAATCGTGTAGACGATGGCATGAAGAGCCAAGAGAAGCACAGCTACGTATCCTGCAAGTCGGTGGAAATAGTTCAGTTCAGCGTGTGAGATATGTGCAACCCGGCTCAGCGGCGTGTTTTTGAGTCCAAAGAAGACACACAACATCATATTGATGGCGCTCATCCTATAAGACCATAGATGTTAGCTTCCATTTTCCATTACCATGACTAGACTGACGTGGACATTTACCATCCGAATCTCGAAGCCCAATGATTGAGCAGGTGCCTGAGTGCAAGAATATTGGAACAGAGAATGGCGTTGACCGCGATGAAGTTCCCGATGATTACGACATATCCGAGAGAAGGGCGTCCGAACCATCCAAGGTTCACGCGTCTTTCTAACTTTCTGCATGAAGCTTATTAACCAGAGTTCGTCTTATCCCGAACTTATGTTCAAAACCTACTGGAAAGCGAGGAGAAGGCTGTGACGCGCCGGGAGTAATCTTCTGGAAGACGCTTTTGAGCGCGCTTTCTTCGTGTTGTGACACGCTTCCCGCAGCCAACTTGTCGCGATGACAACGGCCATAAGGCTGCAAAGGAAAGAGAGGTAGATCTTGATAGCTTTCTCATTTGCGCCTTGCTTTGTGGTGGGGGTTTCGAAAAACTGCATAGTGTCCTTCTTGAGCAGGCTGCCATCGGACGTAACGAGATGATGTCCAAACAAGGGGCGAGCAGTAGGTGTACTTACCCAGATTGATTAGATGGGGCATGTGATCAGATTGATAAGATAAATGGCAGCTGATGGCAGTCATCCCTAAGGGTCCACATCAGAAAAATCTCGCGGACAGCTCAACCGGTCATTTCGGCGCTAGCAGGGATTTTGTCATGCGCCTGTCTCTCACAGTGAGGGTATTTCCCACTCACGCCCCAATGTGACAGGGTTTCTAGCGCCTCAGAATTGCTCACTGTGAAGGCAGAACTTCAAAATGACCGTGTATATGTCGTCTCGCCCCGGTTGCGGATCACGTTTGCCAATGAAATAGCCAAAGACAAGCTTCAAACGACCAAGACGATGTGAGAGATGCGTTCCTGATCTATGTTGCGGTGGAATCTCAAATTAAAGAGTTAAACATGCTAGGTAAGTCCCGTTCCTCTATTAAGCCGTTCTCTTACCGATGCCCATAAAGGTTGCTGTATGCCACAGCCCCTTAGTCCAGGGTACCGACTGCAGGCTCATCGAGGGATCATTGCCCGTACTTTTGCTGAATAGACAAGTAAAATGAAACACCACTACTTTCCGAATCCACCTTGACTTCTCCCCATCCTCAATGTCGGACGACTATTCCAAAGCAGCCATTCAATAGCATGGCTTACTGCGTCCCGAGAAACTGGATGACCCTAGTTGACACCTCCGGCCCACCGAAATCGGATTCGCATCCTGCTAACAAAAAAAAACACCGCCAAGGCAGAGTGCGCAATGTTGCATCGGGGGTGTGTGGAGTACTTCGGCGTCGGGCACAGGCTTGGAAGATTTATCTGATGATCAGACAAGATGGGATTGATTAAAAGCCGCCGTCGCGACGTCCTCCATGTGTAATATTGTTGTTCAAGACACCCTCTCTTCTCTCGCTTTGGACTTTTTGATCGCTGACGGCGATCGCGAACCGTCGATATGGCCTCCAAGAAACCTGCCGATCGTCCGGTCCCCGCAGCCGAGGACGCCGACGTCGCCACCCCGGTACGCTTCGACTCCGATGCCGACGAGAAGCGCATTGCGGACGTCAACAGCAGCCCCTCCGGAGATCCTGTCGAGATCAGGGACTTTCCCTGGACTTGGAAGCTGACCGCCCTCGTATGCGGTGTTGCGTTGTCCTGGGGCTCGTCGTTCTCCGAGAACACTCTCGGACCTCTCAAGAGCACATTGATCAAGCAGCTTGACATCAACAACTCACAGGTCAGTCGTCATGCAGTCGTGGACAATCTTCTAAGCAATTGTATGTGCGACAATTAACACACTGTAGTATGGTGCCATCTCTTCGGCCACCTCACTCGTGAACACGATTCTTCCGATTCTCGGCGGATACGGGCTGGATCATTATGGCGTCGAATGGTAAGTGATTAGGCCACAGAACTTCATAATTGGAAAAGGTACTGATGCCCTGTTTTGTACAGGGGTTCGCTGGCTTGTTCGGTCGCAATCTTCATCGGCGCTGTCGTGTCAGCGGCTGGTTCTAATAACGATTCTTTCACTTTGGTTGTGACGGGCCGAGTGATTATGGGCTTCGGAAGTACTGTCATTGAGACTTGCACGTCAAAGGTGAGTTGACTCAAGGATCGGACTATTTCGTTTGGCAAATGTCTCACAGCCGCACCAAAGATTTTGGCCCATTGGTTCCAACACAAAGGACTTGGACTTGTGTATGGTTTGGACCTGTCTATTGGTAAGTAGTCCGAATGTTTCTGTTATATCAAAGTGTATCAGATGTTGACGGCGTCTGTTGCAGGAAAGCTCATCGTTCTCATCGCCAAGGCCACCGCGGTTCCCATGCGAGATGCGTCATCATTCTGGGGGTGGGCCCTGTGGATTCCCGCCATCGTCTGTTTCGCCAACCTCATTCAAAACATCTTCTACGTCTGGTGGGCCCGAAGCCGGCCCGAGTGGACTCAAATGCCCACCGGCCAAAAGCTCGCCATGGAGATCAGATCCCGCGAGCGCGCACAGCGCGAGCAGAACAACGAGGTTGCAACTTTCAGGACTAGAGCAACAGCCCGTACCTTGAGTGCCCTCCCTAATTGGGCAGCTCTGCTTCGTGTTCCTCGCTTCTTCTGGTTGGTTGCTTGCACCCAGATTCTACAAGCTGGTGTTGTTGGTGGCTTCAACGGCCTCAACGCCGACATCATCACCCAAACTCGAGGCTCCACTGCTCAGCTTGCCGGTTACACCTCCGCCGTCCAGCAGGTGATCCCTGTTGTGTGTGCACCTCTAATCGGGTCTTTCTTCGACTATGTGGGTTACCGCATGATGTTTGTCAGTCTTACGTCGGCCATCTGGATTCTGGTCTACTGCCTTATCGGTTACACCCAGACCAACGCACTTGGATCGATGGTCATCGCTTCTGTGGCATCAACTATGAACGCCCTGCCCTTCTTGGCATCCATCCCACTAATCGTGCCGAACCAACTCGAGCTTGGGCTTGTATTTGGTATTTGGAAGGTTTTCAACAATAGTGGAAGTGTCATAGTTGACATGATTGCTGGCAGGCTGCAAGACATTACGCCTGGAGGAACATACGAGCGCGTCATTGCCTTCTTTGTTGCCGTGAAGGGCCTGGAGTTTTGCCTAGGGCTGTTCTATGGAGTTCTTGACCGCAGATACCTGGCAGGCATTCTTAGCATCAGCAATAAGAAGCGCATGGATATCGAAAAAGAAGGAAAACTGGGAGACCTCGTCGGCAGAAGGCCTGCCAGGTCGTTCACGGCCGTGGGAATTGCCCTGGTCTGCTCTCTGATCATCATAGCCTGGGTTTTGTTCATCAAGTACTCCATTTGAACGTTAGCCGATAAAAAGATGCCTCTTGCATTTTGACACAAGAAGTGCATTTATCAGCCAGAAAATGTGCATCCACTGACTTTTTGGTTTTGTGGTCGGTTATGGTGCAACATCAGTCGGGATTAAGCCGATGTCAGTCTACATTCTTAGTAACCGAGTCATGCCCAGGACACTTCTCCAGGCTTCCATTAACGGCAGTCAGTCCTGGAAGGGCTTCGAAGTGCTTTGATATAACATGATTTTCCTTCATCCATGGTTGAATGAGCAAACCATTCCTCCTGAGCCAAAGAATATGGGTTCAATCACTGAAGCACCTAAGGTCGTCCCTGCTGGGGCATGGGACACACACCACCACATTTTCGAGCCAGCGCGCTTCCCTTTCGCCTCTGCAAGGCACTTCACGCCCTCAGTTGCAACTCTGGAGCAGCTCAAGACATTCGAAGATTCCATCGGCGTTTCACACGTGTGCATCGCACATGGCTTGTCATACGGGGCCGACTGCTCCTCATTACTCTACTACCTGGAGCAATTCAACGGGACGGCACGCGGTATCTGCGTCCTTGACCTAGACACAGTAACAAACGAGCTACTGGACAAGTATCACGGAGCCGGCATCCGAAGCGCTAGGTTGGACTTCTTCAAGGCACAGGCCATGAACGACGTCGACAAGCAAGTCAACCTCATCAAGTCCACCGCCAACAGGCTTCTTCAATGGCACCCGACTGGCAACAGCTGGAGCATTCAAATTCAGCAGCCAAACATCTCTTACTGGGCTAAGCTAGGACCGGTAATTCAACAGTCAAAGCTGCCCGTGGTTCTGGACCATATCGGCCTCGTCAAAGCTTCCAGCATGGCACCGACTGGGTCTGTGCCTGTCAGGGAGCAAACAGGATGGCAGGATTTACTGAACACGCTGAGAGGAGGAAACCTATGGATCAAGATCTCGGCACCCTATCGATGCTCTCGAGCTGATCCTCATTTCGAAGACCTCAGGGATATTGTGCAGGAGCTTGTCAAGACAAACTCCAAGAGACTGGTCTGGGGGAGTGACTGGCCTCATACTCAACGACATGAAGACAGGCATCTGAGGAGCAAGCATGAGCAAGAGCCTTTCCTGAATATTGACAACCCGGCGTGGATTCGGTCGTTGAGCACATGGTTGAACGGAGAGGAATGGCAGGACTTATGGGTTCATAATCCTTCAACTCTGTATGATTATCCAGCCAAATCGTGAAGTAGGCAGTCGGTTTCTGTTGTGTCGTGGCATCAGGAGAATTCTATCTCAATTTGAGAAAGCGATCAAGCAAACAATGGTACCATTTATTGACAAATATGTGATTTCGCGGGGATACCAGTCTTCAAAATGATATCTCGTTTCAAGTCACGATTTTCTATACCCAATGAGTAAATCTTCGCTTTTCTGCGTAAATCTACTTGAGTTTGGCCCGATCAGTTCAATTACACGATCGCATCGCGCGAAGCACTTACAAGCCGGGGTCAAGCCGAGTGGGTCACAGAAGGTCTGTCGTGTCCACCATCTCACGCCGTGGATGGTTCTCGGATAAATCATTCGAACAGCTATCTTAGACGAGTAGAAACTGCAATATTCACGTTACTAAATTGCTCGAAGAAACATTCGCAAACATGGCATCTTTTCCCCAGAACAACAGGACGTACCAGATCCTTGAGGCGGCTAGGACAGGAGGCTACGCAGTCGGCGCGTACAACTGGTGAGAACTGCATTCTTTGTAGGCCTTCCATAAAGCTGACTCGGGAATAGTTATAATGATGACGGTGTTATCGCTGTCATTCGAGCAGCTGAGGCGTGCAAGTCGCCTGCCATTATCCAAGTCTTCCCATGGACGATGCGATTCCAAGGCCCGGAGTTCGTCAAGTACGTGATTGGCGCCGCGCACGCCGCGAAAGTTCCGATCGCGGTCCATCTCGACCACTGTATCGAACCGGAAGACGTCAAGGCGGCGCTTGAGCTTCCCTTCGACTCTATTATGGTCGATGCCTCAATCCACGACGAAGCCGAGAATGCCCGGCAGTGCAAAGAGATTGTGCAGATCGCGAACGCCAAGGGCATCGCGATCGAGGCTGAGATGGGCCGGCTGGAAGGCGGCGAGGATGGTCTGCCTACAGTCGATCTCGAGACGATTTTTACACGACCCGAGCTTGCGAGAGATTTCGTGAAAGAGACAGGAGTGCAATTCCTAGCCCCGTCTTTTGGAAACATCCACGGAAATTACGGTCCTGGTGGCCCGGAGAAATATTGGAGATTGCCTCTGTAAGTATTCCAGCGGCTATAACGGAGCCCTGATTTTGACTGATATTTTGTTGCAGGCTCAACGACATTCACAATGCCATCCCCGACATTACCCTCGTCTTGCATGGAACCCACGGTGTGTCTGACGAGCAATTCAGGACCGCCAGAAAGCATGGCATGGTCAAAATCAACCTGAACAGAACGGTCCGCGACGAGTACACAGACTTTATCGCAGAGAATGCGGGCAAGCTGGAGCTTACCGTTCTGAAAATGAAGGGCGCGGAAGTTTATGCCAAGTCTATTGAGCGGGTGATGAGGGATGTGCTGTACTCAGCTGGCAAAGCATAGGGCATGCCGGTGTATAGAGATTCTAATTCACGTACATGTTACCAACACGAATGAAGCACATGTCTCTGTATTTGGAACCAAGTTCTCAGCTCGTGCTATGAGGACTTCAACCGATCGCAAATTACAAAGCTGATGCAGCCCATTAGGTCGTGTCAATCGTGATCTACCAATGTCGAAATTCATGCCGCAATTGAGCTATCCATTGTAAATTTCTTGATTCCTCCATGTGAATAACCACGATTGCTCCAGAATTCTGTTATGATTTTCGACCTGTGGTATCGGCCCAATCCCGAAAGTGTGACTGCAGAAAGCCGGCTTTTCCCCGAAACAAAACAAACTGCCCCGCGATGCCGGCTTGGATTAGAACCCGCGTGGGACCTATCCGACAATCGGAACAATATGACAATAGAGACGTCATTTCAAGTCGATTGAACTTTGATCAAAACCCTATTAAGAGAGCTCTAGAGGCCAAAAGTGACTGCATGCTGTCGTTCACGTTCGAATTCAATTGCAGAATTTGCTTATTTTCAAAATGACGTCAACATCCGACATCGTGGAGCGTCTCTCCAAATGGTCAAGCTGTGATGTGAGGAGACCGACTTCCGGCCAGTATTCCATACCACAAGGCTCTAATTACTGAATATACTAGATCTCGGATGGCCTCTCCAAGCTTGGCCGTGCTGACGGAGGCTTCCTAGAGGGACTCGTGCTTTACTCGCCAGAGTACCAAGCTGGGAAGACCAAGATTGTCGGACCCGTCTTTACTGTCAAGTTTGCTCCCAAGAGCGACTCATCTGCGCCTAAGGTCAAGGGCAACTACGTGAGTTTAGCTTCCTGAGGCAAGCTTTGCAGATTGAAGGTGGTACGCTAATCACGATTCCTTCTCGCAGATCGACCAGATCCCCAAGGATTCTGTTGTCTTCATCTCACAGCCGGCTCCGCATGTGAACGCCTGTTATGGCGGTCTCATGTCGTTGAGAGCCCAGATCCTCGGGGCCAAGGGGGTCGTAATTGACGGACATCTTCGCGACCTCCAAGAGCACAGAGATCTTGGATTTCCGGTAAGAGCCATTGGACATGCGACCAATGCTTATGCATCCCTGGCTGACGAACATCATTCCAGCTGTTTGCGAGAGGCACTGGCACTACGGCCGGTGGTGCTGTATGTTTCCCATCTGAAATCAACGTCGATGTGAAGCTTCAGTCTGCCAAGCAAGATGCCACAATTAGCCCGGGAGGATACATCATCGCCGATCTTGATGGCGTCGTGTTCTTGCCCGGCGATCTGGCCGAGCAGGTCCTTGAGAAGACCCCTGGGCTCGCTGCTGCAGACGACAGGTGTGCTGAGGCTATCCGTGGTGGCATGTCTGTACAGGAGGCGTTCGCGGCCTTCAGGGGTAAATAGAGCGACAATAATTCGGCAATAAAGATCAATGTGTAAAGAAAGTATTTCAAAAATGATCAAGTGGAATGGCAGGGAAATTTGGGGTAGGGAGATAGACGCAGTCATCGCCGTCACCGTTTGAGGTTTGCCACAAATGCACCCACGATCGTCACAATTGCCGATCGTAAACACGATGATCTTAGCTGAGAAAATTCAACAGTGATTCAGAAGGATAAAATAGACCTGCGAAAGAAGAATGACAATAGCGCATCTTATTGTCATGCACTAGAAACGTGCTCTGCGGACTCCTTTTCATTTAAAGTCTACTTATGTACATAACGTCGTTCCATCTTTTGGTGATTTTCTCCACGCCAAGTTCAAGCCAGCGGGGTCGTAGACAGCTGAAGCCCTGGTACACCATACTTGGATGCCAAGTCCTCAAACATCTTCTTCTCAGCATCAGCAAACGGCAGGCCCTGCACCTTGCGCTCCTCAGCCAGGCGGTATTCAGGTTCGCCAGGGAAGAGGACCTCCTTGAAGCCATCGGCGGGCGTAACACTATGCACGCGCTGAACGAGAGTGTCCATCCTGGCGCGGAACTGCTCGGAGGACATGAAAATGTCAGGCTTGATGGCGATGAAGCAGTGTCCGACGTTCTGAGGGCGAGCCTCCTTGTATTGGTCACCAACCTCACCACCAAAAGCGGCACCGGACAGAACTCCGGACATGATGTCCATCAGAATGGCAATTCCCGATCCCTTGGGGCCACCAATAGGAGCCATGGAGCCGTTCAATGCCTCGTTCGCGTCCTCGGTGGGCTTTCCGTCCTTGTCATACGCCCATCCAAGGGGAATCTTCTCGCCTCTGCGGGCGGCCTTGCGGATCTTGCCCTTTGCGACAACGGATGGCGCCATGTCGAGGATGTAGGGGACTTCGTTCTTGCTGGGAGCTCCCGCGGCAAAAGGAGAGATACCGAGCAGGGTCTCCTTGCCACCGAACGGAGGCATCTGCTTGGCCGAGTTTGTGAAGACAAGAGAGATCATGCCAGCGTCAAGAGCCTGTAGGACGTAGGTGGCACCCATGCCGAAGTGGTTGGAGTGTTCCGCAGTGACAATTCCAATGCCGTAAGTCTCTGCACGACGAATCGCATCCTTCATAGCCTTGGAGGCAACGATGAAACCAAAGCCATTGTCTCCATCGGCGTGTGCAGCGACTGGTGTCTTTTCGGTGATCTGGATGTTGGCCTTGGCGTTCACAAGGCCGCTCTGGACTCTTTCAATGTACTGCTGAAGTCTCGCCAGTCCGTGGGTATCCTATCAGGATCGGAAGTTAGTTGCTATGTTTCCAACCGTGTCTGCCATATGAATTGGGATTTTTAGGCACTTACAACGCCGCGAGTGTCAGCCTGTACCAGGCACTCAGCCATGAGACTGGCATCATCCTCAGGAAGACCTGACTTCACCAGAAGTGTCTTGGCGAAGGTGACGGCCTCGCTTGGCTTAGCGTAGTAGCGTGCTGGGGTAGACATTCTGATCGATGACGTATCTTCACAACAGATTGAGATGCTCGTGTTGTTCAAAGCAAATTGAAGAGACTGGGTGCCAAACTTTCAAGCAAAAAAGCACGATAATAATATCTGCCTTCACGGATGCTACCGGCCCTATTCATCGTCACTTTCGAGATGGACATCACGCTTAGACCCTCATTGGTCGGGTTAACCCGATGAAATGACCCCTCCAAAGCCTGAGCACCGGCCCAAAGCCGAGGACTGCCCCGCCCCCGCATGCGGACTGCTCCTGTTCGTCAATTGATGACTCTGGTCAAGCCACACACAAGGATTCCCCGCCAAGAAAGAACTCCAAGCAATTCTTCAACCACACTCTCGGGTTTCCCCCGTTTCCTCTTTGCACCAGCTTCGATGCTTCATGTCGTCAAGATTCATACACAAGAGTCCCCGATAAGCCGGTCTCTTACCTGTGTAAGAGCCCTCTCCACAGAATCAGTCGATGGACGCAGACGCTGCCGGATCGTCTGGTTGGTCCGAAGAGCCAATCTCTCCCGTATCGACTCGGCAACGGGCCGGGGCGGCGTCGATGACTGGGCCGGGCCGCAAGAAAGGCACGGCATGCGCCCGCTGCCGCAGTCAAAAGATCCGTTGTGACGATGAGAGGCCATCTTGCACCAACTGTGCACGTTCGGGGCACCCATGCGTCAGGGCGAATCTTGCGAATAATCCCGACGCGGTCAAGTAAGCATCCAGATCGAAATAATTACCCGTTTCGGACAGCAGAATGGCAAACTGACTTTGAACACCGCAGCCATGTCACCAAATTGGAGGCGCGATTACGGTCTCTTGAGGACTCCCTTCGTCGGGTAGCCCCCGAAGAACTTGACAGGGCCCCAGAAGTGGAATCGCGGTCGGCGATAGCGTCATCTATCACGGTCTCTACCGCCCCCATGTACGAGACAAGTCCTACTATGGAGCAAGCGCAGCAATGGCCCATGCAGCAACCCTTACCCACGCCAATCGACCAGTCAAGCCATAACGAGCAGGATATCTATGATGACCAAGAGCTCATCGTGGACACCGAGGGCCTCCCTCAATTGGACACTATCGAAGCAGACCCAGGCATTGAAGATGCTGTTCACCAGGATGAGACAATCCCGGTCGACAACCACCCAACTGCTCAGTCCTCGGCGACTGAGAACACCACATCGCTCAGTCCATCTGCCTCTACAGAGATTGGCCCAAGCGAGCCTCTTGCCCATGAGGTTGGTATGCTGTCATTGGCCAACTCCAAGGAGTCCAAATATCTCGGCCCTTCTTCGGGCGTACCCTTTGCGCGCCTCATCTTCTCAGCCATACCTCAATCTCAAGGCTTGTCAGTGAGCTGGTCAGCCCCAGAAGGAGGGACAGTGGCGCGGAAACCTTCGCCTGCCCATCATCCCTTTCCACCTCATTGGACGTCTGAAGTCGACTTGCAGCATTTTGCCGACGCATACTTCCAAACTCTCCATCCCCTATACCCATTCCTTGATGAGGATAGTATCTCTGACAACCTAGATTGTCTTTACACAACTCAAAAGGCAGGGTCTATGCAAATGCCTCCTCTAGCAGAGGTTGAAGCCTCGCTATCCCCGTTCCATTCAGTTCAAGTATTTCTTGTTCTCGCGTTGGGTGCTCGAATCTTGGAGTCTCGGCTCTCCGTAGAGTTCTCATCTGAGAGGTATCTCGCCACAGCTATGCAACGGATTGGCACCCTGGCTTTGCATGACAGCATAGAAGGACTACAGATCATGCTGTTGCTAGCCTTGACCAGCTTCTACTTCGAAGAAGGGCCAAACGCATGGTTCCTTGTGATGAACATCATTGCGAGCTGCTTGGACTTGGGCTTCCAAAGACGTGGGGTTGACATGCACCGTCATTCCCCTTTAGCAAAGCCTAGCACTGCTCATATTCGTCTCAACCTGAGGCGAGGCATCTTCTGGTCTGCTTACTCACTAGAGAGAACATTATCAGTCGTCCTTGGACGTCCTTTGACCCTTCGAGACGAGGCTATTGATATAGAGTTTCCTGGCCATGTAGGTCGTCCTGGAGATCATGTAGGGGACTCTGTCGGCAGCAGTGCGTTGACACCAGAGAGCGCTCGCTCTCCGCACCACTCAACAAAACGGGCAAGGGTCATGGTCAACCCGTATGCAGCTGCACAATACTCTTTCAAATTCGACCAAATCACAGCTGAAATCAAGCTGATGATATACCGTGTCGTCAATCTGCCAAACAGGTTTCCATGGCCTACGGACTTCGACACCTGGCAGCCGGATGTCCGCAAGCGCTGCGACGCACTACTTGAAGGGCTCAGAGCTGAGTTTCGTCGGGGCTTTCGGCGAAGTACTTTGGATGGTGTCGTACAAAGTCTCGAGCTGAAGTACCATCACTGCATCATGCTTCTCTACCGTCCGTCACCCGCCATCACCAGGCCAAGTTTCGACTGCTGGAAGATTTGCTACGAAAGCGCCGTCGCCACGATACTGATCAACTCCGAGCTACACCGGTTCTCGAAACTCTCGAACAGTTGGCTGACAGCACATACGGTCTTCGTAAGCGGTATCACTTTTCTTTACTGCTTATGGGTGGTGCCGAAGATCAAGCAAGAGACGTCGCTGGTGGCATTGAAGAGCAACGCAGACGCGTGCAGCAACCTCTTGAAGTACCTTGCCAAGACATGGAGTGTGGCTGCCGATGCTGTGTTGAAGTATGAGAGGCTTGTTTATCTGACGACGGAGTCATGGAAAGCTGCCGCGAACCGACCTCCCAGTGCAGAAGTCGCGGCTGGCCAGTCTCTCGTGTCAATGGCACAGGGACAGGAGACGGAAGCCAGCGAGATCACGTCTGCACCGATCATGGACCCAAACCTCTATACGATGGATGCAAACATGGGAATGGGAGGAGAATTTGAGGCTGACTCATTTTTCAATGAGCTAGGTGATATGAGCTCATGGTTTGACCTCAATTGGCTTTTGGACGCCAGTGCTGGATTCAGCTCTACCGATGATCCAGCAGGTCCAGCGTTATTTTGATTAAGCAATAAGATACCTCCTTTTATTTGTATCTATCTAGACCAATTTCTATCGAAGTGACTCTTTAATAGCTACCGGGCGCTTTTAGTTGCCTAATGCGTCTAATGCTAAGACAATGAAGGCATCTTAGGGGCATCTTTGGGGGGTCAACAACGCCGTCTGCGACCTTCTCGCCAGTGACTTGTTATTTTCCCTTGACGTCAGAAAGAGTGAAGAGATCAATGTCGTTTCTACTTCTATCCCCATTTTCTAGTCGCTCACCGAGGTATGAAATGACGATACTTAACATCAGCGTGCCCTCACCTTCTAACTGGGCGGAAGCACGGCAGAGACCGATGCAGCCGAAAAGTGGGCTCGGGTTTTGCCCGGTCACAATGACGCCACACTCGGGATAGCCCCGAGAGCAGCTGCGCTCAATACCCGAAATTGCAGCTCTTCTTCCATTTGAGCTTGTGTTCAGTGTGCTGGGAGGCGTAGGCGAATAGAGTTCTTTCAGCATTGAGACCGACGATTCCCAAAATGGCGAGCATGCATAAATTTGCGCATGCAGTGAGAAGGGCGAATTCGTCGTCGCCCTTACTTTCAGCTCTGCTCCGCACTCAATGTCGAGCTGCGCCGCGTTGTTTCCAAGCATTCAGTTCCTCAGCTCGTTGTCGACAAAAGCCGCAAGTAGCAGTTCTCTATCAGGAGATTGACCCTCCAGTGATCGCTGGAAATGTCAAACCGAAGAAGCCCGGTGGTAGGTAGCCAAAATAATGAGACAAAATGAATTTTCGGCTAGCTAAAGGTTGGTTCCAGGTTACAAAGACTCCGGTGCCGATATCGCATACAACCTAAGTCTCTCAAGCGAGGTTCAAGTTCTTAGCCCGCATTCGCGACCAGACCCTCTCAAAGATGCCGATTGGTGTTTCCCCGACAACGAAGACGGTATTCTGAGCGCGATTGATAAAGGCGCGACGCATCTGTGGGCGAACACGATTCTCTTCGCCAGCCACCCGCTCCAGACCTCGGCGCGCATCGGGAAACATGAGAAGAAAATCAAGGTTATTGGACAAGGACCTCTAATTGTCGAGAAGTACGATGACAAAGATTTCGTCAACACTCTCCTGCGGCAGCAAGGGAGCTTCACTATGCCGTGGGCCTGCACCATCCACGCCAATAAGGACACGCCTGACTATAAATCATATCCGTATCCGGTGGTTGCAAAGCCTGCACGTGGTCGCGGCAGCCACGGCGTTAAGGTCTGCCAGGATGAGAGCGAATTGAGTTCCCACATCAAGCTCCTGAAGTCCGAGGCAACCAATGCGATCATCGTGGAAGAGTTCCTTGCAGGCGAAGAGGCCACGGTGACAGTCATGCCTCCGACGTTTAACAAGGGATACTGGTCTCTGCCTGTTGTCACCCGATTCAACCACCAAGATGGCATCGCCCCCTACAACGGCACAGTTGCTGTCACTGCAAACTCTAAAGCTGTTGTTGGCTCTGAAGACCCTGCTTATGAGGAAGTTGCCAAGGAGTGTGAGAAGGTCGGGAAGTTGCTTGGTACCACCGCGCCTATCCGCATCGACGTTCGTCGGTTCAAGGCAGGCTCCAAATTTGCGCTGTTCGATGTGAACATGAAGCCGGTAAGTCCATCAGGCCGAAATGGCTGGCTCCATTTGAATCATAAAGCCTAATACAACATTTCTGCGCAGAACATGACTGGGCCAGGCAGACCGGGTCGAGATGAGCAAGCGAGCTTGACACTACTTGCAGCAGCAGCTCTTGGCTGGGACTATAAGGAATTGCTTCGTCAGATTCTGGGCACATCATACACGCTTGAAGCACTTAGAAAGCTTGCGCCTCGTGCCTAAGCTGAATGGGTGGAAACGAAACGATTACTTAGGTAGAATTCGTAGACTTCATGTTCCTTTTTAGTGTGAGCATGCTTCGATCATGATACAAAGTTTCCGTAGACGTGCTGATGTCATCCTAAAGCAAATCATCTCAAGGCGCAAAGCGAATTCCGGCTGAGCTATTTCCCCGTCTAGATTGGGATGATCACTGGACCTTTATTGCAAATATTCTCGGGATGCCACGCTACCACATCTGCCTCATGTTTCAGCCGGTGTTCCCGCAGGACAAGATACAAACCATATCACTCTTTCATCTTGGTAATTCTCAACGCGACCATCATCATTGGTCTGCACCAATATTACGTGCCAGCTATCAGTCCGGTGGCTGATCATGATAAGCGGGACTCAATTTCCTGAGAGTCTTGGCCTCCGGCCATATGCCGGTGCGGGCCGGCGTCAATGCCGGGGTGTGGACGTCCCCATAATGCAGGCCCTGGTGGACCATGCCATGGGCTCAAATTGCTGAACAGGGCCTCTTCAATATCAGGGAAAATGACAAACTGTCCCAACGATCTGATTTCTACCTTTTGCTTTTTATAATCGAAGCAATATAGCGTTTGTTCTGAAAAAAAGCTCTCCATTTTATACGCTATCGTCTATCAACATTCGTTTCAGACTGCCAAGATGACTCTCATTCATATGGGTAAGTGATTATACTCCTTTCCGATTTGCCTATAGTTGTCTGACAAGTCGGCAAGTGCTGTTCAAATTCCGACCGGAGGTTACCAAGGAACACAAGGAGACATTCGTAAGAGAGCTCAAGAAGTTGAAGAACCTATCATGCGTTAAGGACAATCGCCTTATCGTCGGAGGACCATCCGTGACCGACCCGATCGAGCGAAGCAAGGGTTTTGAGTTTGCTCTACTCAGCTACCACGAGAACCGCGCCGCGTTGGACGAATATCAAGCAAGCAAAGAGCATCACTGGTAAGGCAGCGGCTGCTTCTGCGGGATAGATCTGGACTAACGTCGCCATAGGGTCACGCAAACCTACATGTTTCCTTTCAAGGAGGACCTGTGTCGGTTTGATTTCGAGGTTGACGAGGCAGACGAGTACATGTGCGACTTCACCAAGCTGGCGTCAAAACTGACTGGTGGACTTTCCACACCCGAGGAACAGTCTCTATAACGAGGAAGAATACATATAATACAGCGTTGTTTGATTCATTCTATCACTGGCAATGGCATGCTTCTGTTTCCGGTGCTCTTTGGCCTAGTCGCATAATTCCGTGCATTTAATGATGGCTTGGCCACTACACATTAGCCTCCTTCAACATAGCCCCCCCTACATGTATGCTCCCTACCTCACAAGGAGGATGTGGACATGTGCCAACCAACTCCTTGGGTACTACGACTAACGATGCTTCGAACAAGAACAACTCTTATCGAGTCCAGTCCTTCGAAAGAAGATCTGCTTTGGTCAATCAGGGGTCTAATACTAGTTGACATAGTCTGGCCTTCGACCACAAGCCCGGGATGAGACCGCAGATCGGAAGGATCCGAGCCCTTCGGATCCCGGTGTTCGGGCCGTGACCACATCGCATAGCCGGTGCAGCGGACATAAATTGCTCTCTTTTGATCAATTTGAACCGAGATTTCAGATGACCTCCTGCAACCTTGTCCTATCACGGTCCGCAGTTTCGCCGAGATACACATCCTCAACTCAACTCCTTATCTTCTTATCAAACCTACCGCAATATCGTCAACATGCGCATCGGCGTTCTCAAAGGCAATGGCATCGGTCCCGAGATCATGCGTGCCTCGCAGCGTGTCCTCGAGGCCACCGGCATTCCCATTGAATGGGAAGACATCTTGATTGCAGATGAGGCCATCGAAAAGCACGGGCACCCCATACCACCCGAGACGGCGGCTCAGCTCCGATCGGTCGGCGTAACGCTCAAAGCCCCGATCATTACCCACAAACTCGTGGGGCGCATTACCTGTCTTCAGCCTGACGGAACTTCGGCGACCTATCCATCACTGAACAATGCGATCAGGCGGGAGCTGGGTCTCTTCGTAAACCCGCGACCTGTAAAGGGATATGCAGGCGTCTCTGGCCGTTACGAGGAACTCGATTGCATCATCATGAGAGAGGTCACCGAAGATCTCTACTCTGGTATCGAGCATAAGATTGGGGACGACATCGCCGCCGAGGCAATCAAGCTCACCACACGCGCAGCAGCCACGCGCGTTGCACGATACTCATTCGAGTATGCCCGCAGGTACGGCCGTAAGAGAGTGACTTGCCTGCACAAGGCTAATGTGCTCAACTACACGGATGGCCTGTTCCTTCGTTGCTTCCGGGAGGTTAGCAAAGACTACGAGGACATTAAGACCGAGGAGCTCATGATCGACGCTGCCTGCTACCTCATCGTCAAAGACCCGAAGAGGTTCGACGTTGTTCTTGCGGCCAACCAATACGGTGACATTTTTTCAGATTTGGCTGCGGGGCTCGTCGGTTCTTTGGGACTGGCGCCGGGCATGAATGTCAGCGATGACCTCGCTGTCTTTGAGGCGTCTCATGGCGCAGCCCCTGACATTGCTGGCAAGGGCATTGCCAGTCCTCTGGCCTTGGTTTTGAGTGGCGCCCTACTTCTGGAGTCTGTGGACCGTCGGAAAGAGGCAAATGCAGTCAGAGAGGCTGTGCGCGTTGTGGTGGAAGGGCAGAAAGACCTGACACCTGATTTGGGAGGTTCAGGAACGACTGACTCCTTGACTGATGCTGTGGTGAGAGAGGTCAAGAGAATTATGACATGTACATCAGATTCTGCGTACTATACTTACGTTATATGAAGGACGCTAGATGTATCAGAATTGCAATTCTGTTTCAACAGCCTTTCTGTTGTTCTTATTTGTGGAAGCATTGGCACATTGACGATAGATGCGTATCTGACATAGCGTTGATTGCTAGGCCTTTTTATCTCGATGAGAGCATGCGATAAATGATCGCCGGAGAACCAAATAATTACGTAGATACTTAGTGACCAAAGCCTGCCTTGGCTATGATTTAATGAGTGAGTGTACTATGACATGAAGGCGCTGATAGAACGAGAAGTAAAGTCCGTAGAAAGAGGGGAAAGAACGGCTAAACAGGCAGTGAGAAACAGGTCCCCAAATTCGGCACATCGTTGCAGGTCCACATGCCACCAGCCGATAGAATGCATACCAGCAAGACTTGAAGTAGTCGTTTATGAGTGTATATCAGGCGGACTTGGGGCCTGAATCTTCCATGTTCGCATGAGGGGCACCGAACAGGGCGTCCATCTCTTCAATAGGCACTCCCTTAGTCTCACGGATGCACCACCAAGCCCAAAAGCCCATGCATACCATTAGGGCCCCAAAAAAGAAGTATGCTGTAGAACGTTAGACGTCACTCCAAACGCTGAAGATCCTACTTACTTCCGTAACCGATATCAGAGTTCATGTACGGTGTCGAGCGAGACACAACATAAGACCAAAGTCTCTCATCGGCGATAGTGAGGGCCATGCATAGGGACCGGAGATAAAGAGGATAGATCTCAGATGCATAAAGCCATGTGATCCCCTGAAATGCATTAGTGGAAATGCCAAGAGGTGCTATAACGTACTCACCTGCCAAGATGCACAGTAGATTACACCGTAGAGGTAGACACAAACCATGGCCAGATAACCCCATCCAGACATGGTCGTTCTGCCGGCTGCTACGGCTGCTTCAGGGTCGTTCTTCATGACATAACTTCCCAGGTATAGCTATTTAAGGATTAGACAGTGAATCTCACTCAAGATATAATGGATGTTTCTCACCATAGGCACCGCACCCACAAAGGCACCCCAGATAAGCCCCTTACGTCGACCAAAGTGATCGGCAACCCAAAATGAGAAGATTACCATTCCAAGCGTTTTTGCAACACCATAGAATCCAGTGGCAAAGAGCTTCAGGTCCGTTGATTGTATTCCAAGAGTTTGGAAAATGCGCGGTGAATAGTAACTACAATGCCAATGGTTAGCTATAGATCTTGATTCCCTGAGAAGAACAAGGGTCCATACGTGATGATGTTGACTCCAGTCATATTCTGACACCTGAAAACATATTTTAGTAAGATGCTTTTACAGATGACCCTGCAGAGCCTACATCATCAAGCAAAGGCCAATGGCCAGGCGATTGCGGATTCCCTTCTTTGTGAGGTCCTTGAGCTTGCCCTTGAGGCCGGGGTGCTTTGCAGCTAGGTGTGCCTCGAATTCGACTGCGAGTCGAATCTCACGTATCTCATGGGCCACATAAGGATGGTCAATTGAGAGTTGTCGGATGTCAGTTAGGATTCGTTCAGCTTGGTCCCACCTGTCCTTTCCGCAAAGCCAACGAGGAGACTCAGGACAGAAAGGAAGGACCACCAAAAGGATTGCACCGGGCAATAGTTGGAGTCCCAGAGGAACCATCCACTGGGTGCTTGCTGCAAATGTCTCGTCAGTCGCTTGAGTTTCCTAGTCATGAGACAGAGACTCACTATCAGGACTGATAGTCTTATTGACGGCATAGTTGACCCAGAACCCGAGCATTTGCGCGCCCTGGGACCCAATCTCATAGAAACCTACGAGCTTTCCACGGATGGTGGGGGGCGCAACTTCGGCAATGTATCTGTCAAGGACGTCAATGAATCTAGTGTACTGTTTCGGTGCGACGTCGGTCAAGCAAGACTTACACTGGGATGACAGGAGCTGAAGCACCTATGCCTAGACCCGCGATACATCTTCCGGCCATGACGAGGGCTACAATGCCGCGAGAGCCTGTCTGAATTGAAGCACCTGCAAGGAATATAATCTTGGCAATTGTGATGCACCATTTGCGACCCCAACGCTCTGATATGGGGTACGAAGCCAGCGCACCGAGAAACATAAGCCCAACATGCAGGTGTCAATGTTAGAATGGTTACTGGAGACAACGCAGTCACTGCAAAGGCAATTGCTTCGGAATGCGGCATTTACACGGACGGCATCGTGATGGAGGGCCCCGACTTTCGCCGACTTTCCGATGCCGAGATGGACAACATGCTTCCAAACCTCCAGGTCCTGGCACGGTCTTCCCCTGAAGATAAGAGGATCCTGGTATCGAAGCTGAAAGCCTTAGGTGAGACTGTGGCTGTCACAGGCGATGGCACGAACGACGCTCCGGCTCTCAAGGCTGCTGATATTGGATTCTCGATGGGTGTATCTGGCACCGAAGTTGCTAAGGAAGCGTCTTCTATCATCCTCATGGACGACAATTTCACATCGATCATCACCGCTCTCAAGTGGGGTCGGGCGGTCAATGATGCGGTTCAAAAGTTCTTACAGGTGGGTGTTGCCATTGGGTTCATCGTTGGGATTGTGCTCTAACGGGTTTCTGCTGGCAGTTTCAAATCACGGTCAACATCACAGCCGTGTTGCTGGCATTTGTTACAGCTGCTTACGATGCAGAGATGAAGCCTGTTCTAACGGCGGTGCAGCTACTCTGGGTTAACTTAATCATGGACACCTTTGCAGCGTTAGCACTAGCTACCGACCCTCCAACCGAGAAGATTTTGGATCGTCCTCCGCAGGGCAAGAAGAAGGCATTGATTACAACTAATGTAAGTTACTCCACGAGTCCAAGGCCTACAAAGTTTTAGTTTGCCCGTTTTTACGTCGCTGACAGATACTGTTCATAGATGTGGAAGATGATCATTGGGCAGTCTATCTACCAATTGATAGTGGCACTTGTTCTCTACTTTAGCGGAGGCGCCATTCTCAACTACGACCTGAATGATCCCGATAAGAAACTTGAGTTGGAGACAATCGTCTTCAACACCTTCGTATGGATGCAAATCTTCAACGAATTCAACAATCGGCGACTCGACAATAAGTTCAATATCTTTGAAGGCGTTCACCGAAACCTGTTTTTTATTGTGATCAACTGCATCATGGTTGGACTGCAGCTCGCGATTATTTTCATCGGGTCCAGAGCTTTCCAGATTTCCCCTGGCGGTCTTGACGGTACACAATGGGGTATCTCAATTGTCGTTTCGGCGCTCTGCCTGCCCTGGGCCATTCTCGTTCGCCTCTTCCCCGATGCTTGGTTCGCTGCCATTGCAGAACTCGTTGGCAGGCCATTCCTGACGTGTTACTTTATGTTGAGCACGGGTATTACTTCTCTAATAGGAGCATTTATAAGAAAGAGGGAGGAAGATGCTGAATCAGGCCGTCCGCCAATGGTGGTTGTCTCGAATGACCATGGTATCAGGGACCAAGAGAAGATCTGAGCGAAAGGTATCCGGCCACCATTGTTCACCATGGAAAGCTTCAATTGTATCACGTTATCATGGATGTTAAACGCGTTATAGTAGTTCTTTTGTTGTTTTCATTCCGCAGAGGTGCGGCTTTTGATCAATTGGTGTTTGACCGTACACGGGGGCATAAGAGACGAATTCTAGCATAACCAGCTTCTACAAATCCAACACGCAAACATACATAGAAGAAGATGAATTACATAAAATAAGATGAATTTCCCTTTGATAAGTCTGGGATTTTCCTTCCCATCCTTTTCATTGGCAGTGTGACTCACCCCTTGCGTAGTACTTTGCGGGGATGCGCGGTGATCTACATTTGGCCCGGACCCCAAGCGGCATTCAACCCCGATGCTTGTGTCACAGATATCGCTGATAGGCTGCGTCCAGTAGGCAACGCCTGTGTAAAGTGCATCATTATTCGCGACGGAGAACAAATCCGATAAGGCCATCAGGGATAACGGGCTTCAGAACCGCGCAACAAGCATCGTACCGCATTTACAAGCCAGTACGGCTAAATCTTCTGTCACAAGGAGTGAATAAATATCGAGACGCCTTTCAAATTTAGGACATGCGATGTCCTTTCAAATTCGTTTCATTCGTGATCAAGAACAAAATCCAACCTTTCACGCCTTCTCAGTGTTCATCTTGACTTCAAATCATCTTTCTAGTGCCAGCTATCAACCAAAATGGCCATCGACGAGGTCCTTCCTCCTATGCCCCAATTTGCGAGCAGCATTGCTGGCAAGCCTGAAATTGCCCCTTGGGATAAGCCTCACCCAACCAAAGAAGACTTGAATTGGACAGAACTACGCACGCTTGACCTGTCTCTCCTCGACGGCACCCCTAACCAGCAGGCGGAGCTTGTTGAGACGACACGCCTCGCCATCCAGAAAGACGGATTCCTGTTCGTCAAAAACTTCGGAATGACCGAAGAGCAGCTCGATCGCCACTTCGCGCTCGCGCAGTACATCTTCTTTCATGGAGGTATCAGCGAAGAAGAGAAGGAGAAATTCATGTGGGATCTCTCCAAAGGCACATTTAAGGGCTACAAGCCCAGAGTAGGATGGGGCGAAAAGGAGGGCCAACGCGATCAAATCGAGCATTTCAATTGGTACCAGTCACACTTCGACGGGTTGCCCGATTCCGTCCCCTCCAACATGCTCCCTTTCATGGACGAGATCCAGGGTTTTGCCGACGTGAGCCTTCCCAAACTTATTCTGATTGCCTGACCACATCGCTCACTTTTGTATCAGCATATGACCAACCAAGTTAATCGCCGCTTGCTAGTGCTGTTGTCGCGTATTCTCGGCATGCCCGACAACTTTCTCTGGGAAAAGGTTTCGGCGCGGGGATCAGCGGGCGATAGTCTTCCAGGAACATCGTATCACCGCCACATGGTGTACCATAAGTGGGATCCTGAGGAGTACGACAAGTCTTCCTTGATCATGCACGGGCACACCGACTTCGGTACCCTTACTCTGCTACCCAGTCAACCTGTCAGTTGCCTTCAGATGTTGAACGCTGAAAATGAGTGGCGCTGGGTAGGCTATGAACCTGGTAGACTACTCGTGAATCTGGGCGATGCGCTAGATGTCATCTCGGGTGGCCAGTTCAAGGCCACCAGACATAAGGGTATCTCGACCTTTTCAGTATTAGTTTTTCACCTTCCGGCCTCAAATCTCGCTTGGTCTGATTTCCATTTAGTTACTAAACCTCCACGCGATCAAATGAACGCAAATCGCATTGGCCTCATCATGTTCAACCATGCTTGGGCAGACATGCGTATGGAACCAATGATGGACACCCCGCTGCTCAGAGAAAGAGGTCTGAACAAGAACTCGGACGTTTTTGGTGCTTGTAGTCGGCGTCTCGACGAGGGTCTTGAAGTCCCAACGTATCAAGAATGGAAGACAGTCCGATCACAGGGTGCACAGGCGAAACCGGAGAAGATCGTTGACATCGACGGCGTCAAGTATAAGGAGCAGATGTTCAACGGGACTAAGCTCCTCATGGTCATTTAGGATACGACACTCCAGAGATAACGGGGAAACGCATAACAAACAATTATCGTGGACATTGTAAATCAGACAGAACAGGTATTGGAGATTAGTAACTCGCAGTTCCTCAGACCAGGCCTAAACGAGTCACAAGAAGAGTTGGTCAAAGGTGCGTCTTGGATGACGCTCTAGTACCCGGATAGAGTACTTGATCAAGCGCTATGAGCCATATTATCGTTCGCTTTCGCCTTGATAATAGTTGCGATCATATCTGCCGTGGTATCTGTCGCCATCTCTGTTCTTTTTATCATCCAATCGACTTCGCATAATTTAGTAAATACACGACTCCCTTTTGACCCGAAAATCAGAAGCACTGGACGACAAGTGACTCGCTCAACAAGAAGGACGAATGACTTGATGAAGTTGCAAAAGCATATCATTCGAATCGACCCCGCTTTTACCACACTGTCAACACATCGAACATGTCTCTCCCAGTCCCGGTGCGGAGGAAATGTTCTTGAGCAGGCAAAAGGATTCCTTGCCTGCATCTGTAGAACGCTCGTAGCAGAGGGTACTAAACCGCTCAATTGGAAATTTATTCCCAACCGTGGTCCTCGCCGACAACACGATGTAACAGGGAGAGTTCCCCGCCTTCCATGGCAGGGGGCGGTGTTGAATGCCGGCCGGAGCCAGTCCGATAATACGATGCCGACCCGGAGATAAGGGGAATGGATGTGGGTGCATACGTTGGGGCTCATAGGCCTCCGATTGATTTGTATCGAAACGAATTCACCTCTAAGCGGCTAATTATCACTATTTATTCGGCCCTCATCGTGTCATCGCAGCTCGATTCCTCAAGCAAGAAAATGTTGCCATTGAGTGAGAGTTTGTTGACGTTTCTGATCGCAGCCACGCTTTCGCTAGACAGTCCTCTCAATTCCATGGTCAAACGTATGTATTTTTGCCGACTTCGACGCCAAGAACGTTCATATTAACAAGAGATTCTTCATAGTGTCGTGCGGATTAGCTATCGAGCCACTCCCAGCCGGGTCCTGGGACACACATCTTCACACCTTTGACCCGGTCAAACATCCCTACGAGCCCGACTCGCCCTATTTTCCACCAGCATCCAGCGTTCAGTCAGCTCTAGCTCGTCTGCCAGCCGACAACTATGTCTTCGTGATGGCAATGCCCGAAGGCACGCGGCCGGAAAATGTGCTCGAGAGCGTTGCCTACGTCAATTCAACACTTACATCCGACGGCCGCAAACGACAGTCACGAGCAACCGTCGTACTTGACTTTTCCACCATTGACCACACGCAATTGTCCGCGCTACACTCACAAGGCGTGCGATCAGTGCGTATTCACACGCAAGGCGCCGTGACCAAAGGCCTTGAGGGCGACGAGGCGCTGAAGGTGTACATAGAGACGGTGGCCCGACAGATCGCGCCGCTGGGGTGGACCTTGGATGGACAGCTCAAGACGGAGCAGTGGGTCAAGTTCGCGCCGTTTATGAAACAATTGCACTCTGAGACCGGCATCGAGTTCGTCGGCGATCACCATTTCTACCTCACTGCCGCCGACTACGCCTCGGAAAAGTACGCGGCCATCATCGACCTCATTGAGAGTGGAGCCGCGTGGACTAAGATATCCGGGCTAACACAGCGGGTTGGGGCTGACCAGGACCTGAGAAACATGCGGCTGGTATCGTTGGGTCTGGCGAGTGCGGCGGGGGGTCGTAGGGCTGTCTATGGCAGTGACTGGCCGCACGTCGTATCAGGTGGGGGATCAAGCGAGGTTGTAGCATTTGATGAAAAGGCGGAGGCAGCACAGTACAGACAGTGGTTTGGCGAGGAATTGTTCCGCAAGATTATGGTTGACAATCCAGCCAGACTGTATGCCTGACCAAGTTGGTTCCATGTTTTCGGACCGCCTCCGAAAGAAGTCGGAATGCGGCCGAAGCCGAATCATGGGATCGGAGGTTCCGAGGTGCGGGGGATCCGGGGAAAGTTTGGGGTTCCCACGATTCGGGTACATGGCGCATCATGTGAGAAGGCCGTAGCAAGTTAATCACACCAAATGAACACTCAGATGTCTGCTTCACTCGTTTGGACAAAAAAAATACATAACCCATCAATTCCAAGCGTGCGCTTCTCTATGACCATCGACTCACCACACCAAAAGTCTTGTGATGCCACAGTCTACTCCCAACTCCAACACCGAGACGACTCATAACGCCCCACAATGCAATAATGCGGCGCGAGACCGTTTAGACCAGCACCGCGATAGCAGCAATGGCAAATCTAAGATCCGGTACGGCGCGTCATGCACTAGCTGCAGACGGAGGAAACAGCGCTGCGATGGTCATACTCCCAGGTGTGCACGATGCCAAAGGCTGAAGGAGAAATGCATCTATGAGAAGTAAGGCAACTGGAGGTTCATGAATGCTCCTATTCCATCACCCAAAGATTTTGAGTTACATCTTAGCTGATTCAAGGTAACTTAGTAACGCCCGCAATCTGGTCCCGTCACAGTCGGTGCCTTTACTGCTGCAAACATTCCACTTCCTACAAACCCTTACAGATCCGACTGCTGGTCCGCCAGACTTCATGATTCGGCAGCTCATCCGACAGTACCTCGAGAACACACCTCTACCGAACTTCGCTACAGATGACATGAAAGCGACGCCATCAGGTGGTACTTGGGAGGCACTGGCTTCGAGCCAAAGGGCTGATGGATGGGACAACAATGCTGTTGGTGGGCGGAAGAGTTTGAGAGATAACGAGAGTGAGGATGAGGGCAATGGTGGCGTATCTGCCTTGAATGAGCTACTAATGCATATGAGTCTTGCAGATGATGGCCAAGTGAGTTGCCACCTTGAGAGTGGAGCATGCTCGCCAAATAACGCGAGACGTTGACAAACCTGACAGATGGGGCATTTTGGTGTTTCCTCCTTGTTCTGGGAAGCACCTCCTGATGTCGTCATCGGGCGGCTAAAGCAACACGCACGAATAGACGCCGAAGCAGGCGGTTCATTGGGATCAGGCGGCATGACGAGACAACCCTACGCGATGCTGAATTTGGATGATGTGACCGTTAACTGCGACGATGAGGATGGTCATCAAGATGAAACACGTGAGGTTGGGTCCCTTAAAGTCGACGCAGCAATGACCCGCACATGGGAGATGTTGGCATGGGACAAGCTGGGACTGGAAAGAGGCCGAGAGGTGTCTCAGGCAATAAAGCAACTGCTCGAGACCTACTTCTGCTGGCAACATGCATCTGATTGCATCATCTACCGGCCCGCTTTCATGCGGGATATGGCGCTAGGAGGACAATATTTCAACGAGTTCTTGTTGCAGGTCATCTGTGCTTGCAGCATCCGGCAATGTTTCACAGTTAGCCAGGCCTGCTCAGGGTCTATTTCAACTGGTAACAGGGATGCTATGGAGGCAGGATATCTATCGCAAGCCAAAACACTCTTATCCGTCGAGCTAGACCGACCGTCATCCATACCTACGATACAGGGTCTGCTTCTCCTTGGCCAGCGAGACTGCGCACACGGAAATTTGTCTCAGGGGTGGATGTACACGGGCATGGCGTTCAGAGCGATGCGGGACATGGGTATCCATCTCGATTGTAGCCGCCTATCTATCTTCAGCTTTGGTACCCTGACAGTAGAGGACCGTGAAATCAGGCGCCGTCTTTTCTGGTCAGCTTTCACTTGGGATAAGATCATCAGCGTGTCCATGGGGCGTACACCAACCTCCAACGCGCACCAGACAGTCTGGCCAGGTCATGTTCTGGACGATACGGAGGACCACGACATTTGGCAGCCTGAACCATGTGGGAGCTCAGCACTTACTACCTACCCCCCTCACAAATCCTTCACGACCACCACCTTCAAGCACTTCGCCAAGCTGTGCGAGATTATTCAGACCATTATCATGCGGCTCTACGTTGGCAGGCCGAGACATTTAGGCATTGGTCGGTTCATTAACGCTGTGGGCTCAAAGCTGCGGCAGTGGTATGACTGTTTGCCAGTTGACATCAAGATGAATACTAGCAGGCTGCCGGAACGTTGCCCACCGCCGCACATCTTCTCAGTCAAGTACGTATTGTCAAGTTACTCTTTGAAAAGGCAACATCAAAACTGATTGATATTCCGTTCTTCACACAGTTCGCTGTATCGTGCCAGCTGGATCCTCCTCTATCGTATCTTCATCCCTGATGAATTACGGGCCACGAGCGACGCACCACTTAACTTGATCCGAGAGGCTTCAGCAACATGTTCAGCCAAGGCGGAGGAGATGCATCAGCTTTTCAAGCTATATGCTAAGTCATTTGGTCTTAACAACATGACATACACCATGGTATGGAGCATGGTAAGCTAAATCGCATCTTGCTTCCATTACCTTTTGGCCGGTGGCACTTGCTTGTGTCAAGCTGACTCCAGGTGTTCTCATAGTACTCTTCTGCCACAATCAACGCCATTGACTTCCAATCTGATGACCCCATCGTCGCCAAATGTTCTGCTTCTAGACTCAGTATGTCTTTGTACGTTCTACTGCAGATGCCAGGAGCCCAGAGATCGATTGATATCCTCAAGCACCGTCTGCGGCGGTCACGGTGGCCAGGTTCTTCTACTACAGTGGCTATGGAATCCGGCCTCCTAGCACAAGTCAAGCCCAAATTTGGCGCCGCGTCTGTTCCATCTGATTTGGCGACATCGTTCGGCCATTCAGAAACCGCCCAGATGGAAGATTCTAGTTGCGTTACCGGCAACATTCCCTCCTCTTCTTGTGGCTCATACTCGTCCTTGGCCTGCAAACAACAAGGCTACATAGCGGCAACTTCCCAGTTCCTGGAGCCGTCTTTGTCGTCATCGACTACTCATCAGAATGACCAAGATTGCACCACAGGCCCTCTCGCAGAGGACATCGACGATTGGAACATGTTCTGTTTGCCAATCACAGACGACCCGAAGATTGACATGTCAGTCGAATTCACGGGTAACAATCACGCGGATCTTGATCACAATATAATGGCCGTGGCGTCCTGCGTCGAGCCTATCACAGCAGGTGGAAGGCAGGGGTTACCAGAGGCGGGTGAAGTAGAACCGGCCGATGAGCAGCAGGCGGCGTTATTCTAATTTTTTTGAGTCAGACAGTTCATCGCTGGGTGCCCCAGCAATGAAAATGCGAGGAGCCGACTGGAAGCCACAAGGAACTATACGCGTATTCTGGAGGACCCTCGTATGACCCCTCGTTGCCCCACGCCGTCATCCAGCGATTTTCTACCCAACCAGTCTACTTCATAAACCCTCAACTACCTGATTTCTATTACATATCGAGCCTAGGTTTTCCGATCGGGCCGAATATCAGCATGCTCGAGCAGCTCTGTTACCTCATCTATACAGTCCAACCAAATGCAAGATGCACGTCGGCCCTCTCATCCACAACTCCTTGTGATATCACCAGATACCCCACGGGGACAATAACGCGGGGTATGCATCAAGCTTACAACGCTAACCGTCGATCTACCGGGGTATTTCTGCGAGAGCCACTGCAGTGGCTAATGACCTCGGCTTTTACCTTGCAACTGGGATCATTACCTATGAGAAACGCCAGAAATGGGAACGAGTACCAGCCGATGAACTGCCGCAATCAGCTTTTGGGTTGGTCAGTTGAGCTTGGAAGTAAGAAGCAAATTTTCGGCTGTTAATAACAACACGCCCGTCCTACTCACGGCAAAGGGTGGGGATAATACACGACGTCGGTTGTTGATTCCCCGAGAGGCACAGCAACACGGGTTCAACAATCTGCATTAAGGCGGTCCCTCTCATAGCCACGGGTATAAATGGCCGCACAGATCTAATATTCTTGCAGTTGTGTGCGAAGTTTAGCTATGAGATTCTCATCTTACATTAGTCTAGGTGCAATCATCAGCGGTGGCCGCTGAAAGACTTGTAGACATGATCCCGTCGACGAGTCCTACATCAGAGGTCGTTCTTGTCCTTTTGTAAGCGATGCATAAACTTCATTTTTCTTGGGATAACGCTAACAATTACCAAGGGCAAATCTTTGTTTGATCGCTGCACAAAGCGACTACCAATGGCCAGCGTATCGACCTTTGGAGTACGCCACCCCGGTGCCAACACCAACGACAATTTCGACCTTCGCTCCACCCTATTCCCAGCTTTCGAGTCTCATAGACCCTCGCTCAACAACAATTTGGGACTCTTCTGACTCAACGCCAATGGGGATTCGCTGGTGCTGCTCTTCAAATTGAAGGTGCAACCAAGAATGAGGGCCGTGGACCGAGCGCCTGGGAGAACCGTATGCGAGGCAACTTCTCTTCCTCTGGAGAGAACTCAGGACCACCGGATATCGCAACGATGAACTACTACCTCTACAAGCAGGACATCGCTCGTCTCGCAGCCGTCGGTGTGCAATCATACAGCTTCAGCATCTCATGGTCGCGTATAGTCCCTTTCGGCAAAGCCGGGCCGCCGATCAACAAAGAGGCCATCGATCATTACAGCGACCTCATCGATACAGTGATCAGCTACGGGATGAAACCAGTGGTGACATTGTAGCACTTCGACACCCCCGCAACTTTGCAGTCTAACACGTCATTCTTTTCATATGATCATCCGGACTTCATCGACAGCTTCGTCTACTACGCTCAGACTGTGTTGGTCCACTATTCTGACCGTGTCGGCACGTGGTACACCTTCAATGAACCGACCATCGAGCCCAGCATTTCTGGTTCTTGGGTCACCAGCCGATACATCCTGGAAGCACACGCCAAAGTCGTCCGTTGGTACCGGGATGTTGTCAAAGGCGGCGCTCTCTGGAGCGTGAAGTTCGATCTCACCGACACCGGCTTCGCACTTCCACTGGATCCATCGAATGCTTCGGATGTCGCTGCTGCTGTTCGGCGCAACGAGTTCACAGTCGGGTACTTCGCCCGCCCACTGTTCTTGGGTGAGAATCCACCGCCATCGATGATAGATACTGTTGGCGAGAAGGTTCCGACGTACACGGACGAAGAGCTTGAATTCTTCAATGGAACTGCCGACTTATTTGCCTTTGACATTTACACTGCGACATATCATTCCGAGCCAGCAGGAGGCTTCGCCACGTGTGCTGCAGATCCAGAACATGCCCTGTATCCGCAGTGCACAGTCCCCTCCAGAACCAGGGGGTTATGGGAGGCAAATTTCCAGGGAAACCCCGACCGCATTGCCGTAAGTCTCACTGCCAGAAGAAACAAGATGAAATTTCTGCTTACCAGACGAAACGCAGGTGCCGGCTGAGCATGTTCGCGCCATGCTCGGTTTCTGGCAGGCAACGTATCCCACCAAAGGGGGGATTACTATTGCTGAATTCGGTCTGCCTGCATACAAGGCGGCTAACATGTCAACAGAGCATATCCAGAACGACCTCGCCCAGTCCAACTTTTACATGCCAATCCTTGCAGAGGTTTTGAAGGCGATTAACCTCGATGATATTCACGTAAAGGGATTATATGGATGGTCGTTCCTCGACAACTGGGAATGGGGCCAGTACAATGACAAATACGGCGTCCAGGGATTCAACGCTACCACTCAAGAACGGTTCTACAAGAGAGCCATCTTTGACTACGCCGGATTTATCCAGGATCACATGGAGGAGTAACGTAGCACACCAAATTACATGCACATTATCTTCCTAATTTTCGGGCAGTGTTACGTCATTCTTGCCAGCTGGAGCTCTATTGTCTTTGTCGCCTGCGAGGGTGGATATGCCTGATCATGCAGACTCGAAAGATGTTCAATTTGAATCACTTTTCCATCAGACGTCACCTTTATCCTCTGTAATCAAATTTGAAACAGTCTTGAGTAATAAAGATTCAACATTACTTCTAGAGTTTTGCTGGGCAGGCAGTGTCCTTCACCACCTCAATCGCAGTATGCTAAATACTTCAATAAGGACTATAGCAGTAGACAAAACGACGACGGTAAAAGACGACGACTATCCGCGACGTCCTTTAGGCGAGATACTTCAAGATGAAGGGGACAGTCTCAACAACGTCCCAGTCCTCATCCTTCGTCTCGTCGCCGAAGATCTTCAAGCCACGGGCGATGAACTTGTATGTGCCCTCAGGAATAATGGTGCGGTCAGCCAAGAAACCGCCAAAGTTCCAGGTGTATCCAAAGCGGTGAGCATATTCAACAGGCGAGTTGGGGACGGGGCCTAGAGTCGGGTATCCCTGGTGATCGGTCACCTTGAGGGTGGAGTTGGTGACTCCAACAGCAACGAGCTCAGCGTGCAGCTGCGTGGTGCCGACAGTAGGGGTGACAACCATCTTGGGGTAAATGGCGCTGCCAGTAGATCCGGGGCGAGGGATAGTGAAGGTACGGTTGGCAACGACGGGTATGAGGAAGTGGTTGTCGGTTGAGGACAGGTAGACGCCGTTGAGTCCAAGTCCAGGAACCAGGACGGGGGTGTCGTGCATGCTACCGCCAACGCCGAGGTAAGGCACAGAGAGGGTCTCCCCATTGCTGCCCTCAAGAGTGATGTAGCCGCTGTACACAGGCAGAAGAGTGGCGTTCAGTCCAGAGGGAGGGGTAGCTGTGAAGGCAACGTCGGCGCTACCTCCAGCGGGAACTGTGATAGTGTCGACTACGAACTTGATGTCGGCCCACGCGTCGACTGTCGGGGGAGGGGCTCTGGCAACGACGAGCTGGGCCTCGCCGGGGGTAAAAGTGTAAACAGTCGCAGACTTTGCGTGAGCGAGCTTGTACGTAACTGCCTCTGAAGCAGTATTCTTGACGCTGAAAGTGTGCTCTCCAACGAAGTGGTCGGTGTCGTTGAAGGAGATGCCCGTTGACCCAAGAATCGTCGTCGCATGTGCAGCGTCCCAGGCTTGCACTAGACCAGCACCCTGCTGAGCCACAGGAGCCAGAACATCTTCGTGAATTGTAGTTCCGTCGTTCCATGCCTTGGGTTCAGCAGTGGCGGAAATGACGCTGCGAAGTGTCTCCTGGTCCAGGGTGCCACGAACTTGACCAACAAGAGCATACACGGCCGCAACGAACGGGGTACTCATGCTTGTGCCCGGGTTAACCATGTATTGCGACTGATCCCAAATCCATGTAGAAAGAATTCCGCCTCCCGGTGCGGTGAACTGAGGCTTGAGCTGAAGATCCCAGGTTGGGCCGTAGCTAGAGAACGGGCTGGTGTATCCGGCGGTGACGCCGTTGCTGATCGGCTCCGCAAATAGACCGGAGCTGCTAGGAGGGCCGAAAGTGACGGTGATGTTCTCAGAGTTGTTGATCCATTCCCTGGCTTGTCTGGGCATGATCAATCCAGCGCCCAGGATTCCGTCGGTGTAAACATATGGGGGGTAAATTCTGCTGACCTCGTGTTAGCCCTTGACAAATGAATGGGGTACTAGATCGACGCACGATTCGCTTGAGGGAAAGAAGAAGATGTACTTGGCTCCTCTGTCAAGCACATTTTGACCCTGAATATCCGAAGCGCAAGCGTCCATGTTGAGGATTGGAATGGCATCGGTTAAGTCGATGTCTTCAGCAAGAGGCTCGCACGCGGAGTTGTTGGCAGCGCCGGTCCAAACTCTCAGAGTGACGTTCGCAGTGACTGCGGGTGCGCCGGCAGACCAACCGAAAGCATACTCGCCAGTCTCGTTCTTAAAAGTGCCGCGAGTCATCAAGTTGGGAAGAACAGTGTTATCAACGGAGCCAATACCGGCAACAGCCTGGCCAGAGGCAGGGGAAGCCACAGCCCAGACACCCAAGTTGCCAGAGTTGCCGGCCGCAACAACGACGGGAACACCAGCCTCCGCGATGCGGGAGACAGCAACAGCAGCAGCGTCAATGGACCATCCAGAGTCATCGCCAGCAGAGCAGGAGATAACGTCGCTGCCGTCCTCGTACGCCTTGTAGAAAGCGGAAACCAGGATCTCACTGGTTGTGTAGCCGGCGCAACCGCTAACCTTGTAGGCGCCGAGGGTAACATCTGGGGCAGCACCGGTGAAGCCGAGCTCGTTCTCCTGGGCCATGATGATGCCCGCAACGTGGGTTCCGTGGCCCTGGCAGGTATCGAGGGGGTCAGCGTCAGGCTGAGGCGCGTCGGAGCTCTCGACATAGTCGTCGCCCGTCAAGTCCCAGCCATAACCCACTGGGAAACCCTCGCCGAAGCCACCTCCAAGGGCCGGGTGTCTGTAATCAACACCAGTGTCGACAACGCCGACCTTGATTCCCTTGCCGGTAAAACCAGCCTCGCGCAGCTTATCGACCTGCGTCATGACATGGGTGCTGTAGGTGTCCTTGGCAGCCTCCTCACGGCGGTTTTTGATGGAGCGGAGGAGTGCCTCGCCGGTCGCGGTGCCGTTGCGGCCGACGGAGCTCGGGTTTGGCTTCGGCATCTGAATCTTGCGCACCGGCCAGACGCCCTTGACGCTGAGCTTGCCGGCAATCTTGCCGACCGTGACGTGGGGCTCTTCGTCATCCTCAACGCGGATAGACGCGCCGTTGAAGAGACGGTACTTCAGGTCCAAGCGGGGCACAACAGAGAGGCCATCGGATCGGAGCTCATCCAAGAGTCCCGCGGAGTCGGCCTCGCCGTCGAATTCGACGATGTACGCGCCTTTAACGAAGGCATCCTCGTCAATCTGAGGAGCCGCGGGCTCGGCGTCAGCTGCTGCGACGCATGCCGTAGAGGCCAACAGGCCGAGTGCCAGGGAGGCGACGTTAGAGTAGAACCTCATGGCGGTGGTTGACGCTGGATTTCAAACGAGTGACCGGCGGTGACCAAACACCAGACATGATTGATCGAACGCATCTTGAGCAGATATATAAAAATCGACTCATTCTCAGCGTCAATCGCGCACATAGCGAATGCAATGATGAGATTTCTGGCATGAGTTGAACACGAGAAATTGGGACCTTCCCGTTTGGTACCCGAAATTGCCGGTGCTGGGGGCGACAGGCGATCTTCGGCTCGGCTGCTGCGACTCTGCTGTTCTTGACCATCGCCAAGGCGGCAAACCGCTTCGCTTTCGGTCCTGTCGTTCCTGTTTGTTAAATCGGCCGAGATATTCCGGAGCCACGCCTCATCGTTACTGCAGCCGTCCAGAGTTGACATGATAGAAAATGCTGGCCCTCAGCTCTGCCTTGAAAGGCGCGTTTTGGCGACCGCGTCGGTCGACAGCCGAAGTTAAGGTCGTGGGGCCGCGGTCGTATTCGAAGATCAGGGGTGGGCCGGTACGAGCTTGGGGCACGTCATGCGCAGTGTGAAAGCACCAAAGCATCTATATCCCGGTCGTGTTGATATGCTTAAACAGCTTCACGAGGGGCGCCATCGCCGATGAGGCAGGAGGTTGTCGAATTAAGCAGAGGTGTGGGGGATGGTGTGAGGGCCGATCATGCCCAATTGTGCTCGAAGGTGATAAACATGCAGCAACGATTAGAGCTTAGCTGTCAGCAGTCTACAGACGGAACTTTTGTTATTTCCGGCTTCGCGAAAACGACGGCCTCTAGCATTTCCGTGGCGATAACCGTCCGGGTCAAAAGAGTCACAATTCAAAAAAGATGGAAGATAGCACAACCTGGTTTCGATCCAGGGACCTCTGGGTTATGAGCCCAGCGCTCTACCCCTGAGCTATTGTGCTTTCGTAATTGGGTGATTGTGGATATGGTTCCACACTGCCGCCACGGATTATCGGGTCTCATGAAGAGCTAGAGATTAGAGGAAAGCCCACACATATTAGTTTAAGCGATGGACAACAGATTATCCAAGGACGAGCGCGTGATATACTCGTGGCTTTACAAATTTTATCCGTCTGAGGCCCCTTTTCTGCACCTTTAGGCAAGTTGCGAAAGTTTCAGGTATTATTCTCATATTTAGAGAGTTGAAAATGATCAATATGACGCTTCATAGGTAGCTTCACGAGGGTCTTGACTGAGGGACGAGCCCGGTAATTTCGGTACATTCGGCTTCACCCGGTCTCCGTCTCCGCCATATTCGGATCGCTTGCCGTGAGTGTCATGGACTTTCTTGCCGAAGTTCGGTCTTCGAAACCAGCCATCATCAACGTACCTTGTCGGCACCCCGATATGGTAGCGTGCCAAACCAGCTGATTGAAGATGGGATGAGTGACGCCAAACTTGCCGATCACATTATCAGTTGACATAATGACACATGTCTGGTCGGAAAAGAAATCGTGTGTCTCGCAAGGAGTTTGTGATTGATTCAGGAGGTTATCTAACTCATTTCGTCTTCCATATCTCTGCTCTGTTACACCTAACCATGTAGGCCATCAGAAGTAATATTCTGCTCGCTAATATCAGTGACAGGCTTTCAGACTCAAACACGTTCTTACCTTTTAGACGAGTCTAAGCCATGGGGGATGTTCATTCTCGGCAGGAAGAAATCAGCTGACCCATGTGCTGCCGACTCCGCCGGGCTTCCATGTAGAGCGGGACGGGTCCGGAGCAACACACGGAGGCCCTTCCGTCAATTTCACCGGAAGTCGCCGACTTCCTTTCGATTTGCAAACGACCCCCGATAACCTTCAGTTGCGACAAGTGAGAAAACCATGTCCAATAAGTTCACTGCATGAACTTTTTCGTCGGTGCCGACAGACGGATGTCGGGTACGCTGCCTAAGATACA